ATATTGCGAGAAAGACAGAGCTACGATAACGTTGGTCGGAATCAGGAATCAGTCTACTGGGACTTCCCCGCGCAGTGCCCGCGGTTCCTCCCCCGGGGTATTGATTGATTCCAACACACTCCTCGCCTGTCTGAGCCTGCTGAGCCTCGTCCCTATCCGCTCCGAGTCGGCCGGCCGGCCGGCTGGAGTTCTGGCAACGCGCCCGAAATTTCCAGTCGGATCGCGGAAAAATTGGAGCGCCGAAAAAGCGCGGTTTATCTGTCCCGTGTCTCCCCCCTCACCTCGGAGGGAGGTGCCACCGGCCATAAAAAGAAATTAAAGCAACAAATACAGCGACAGCTGCAGGTCACGGACAGATGACCGCGGGCCGGGCGTGGCCGGGCGGCCGGCCGCTCGCCGGGGGCAGCGTGCACGCCGTGCACATCGTGCCAGGTGTCTGGTTTTACTTCACTGTTTGACGAGGGCCTTTCGGCTGTATTGTTTCAACCGTTGGCTTCGCACTCCATTTCTCTGGTTTACGGGTGTCCGCGGAACGGAACGGAACGGAACGGAACGCCTCCACGCCGCTGGCGTGCCGCTGGCGAGGGCGGCTCGCTCGCGGCGTTCACGTTGCAAAACTTGGAACGCATTAGGCCGCAGGCTGCTTCCGAAATAGACCTCCGCTCCGTCGCTCTGTCTCCCTCGCGCCTCAATGAGGGCGACAGAGACACAACGACGACAACACTGCTCGGAATCATCCCATGCTGGCCGCGCTTAGCATGATGCTGGCGGGCTGAGCTGGCGGGCGGAGGCCTCCCCTCCTATCCGCCAGCAGGCCCAGCAGGCCCAGAGCAGCCCAGAAGCCCGGCCTGGCCACGCACGTCATGTGCGCGACCTTGAACGAGATTTTGGACCCGGCTCAAACGCCATTCTGCCAAAATGTGCTCAACGACCGCCAACGACAGTGCTTAGGGCACCCCGGGACGAATTTCAAATTTAAATGCACGCCATTTTTTGTTTCGCGGGTTGAGTTTTAATTTCGTGAGGCTCTGGCCAGAGGGCGGGGGAGCGAGGGAGCACGTCGAGATGCACTGGGTTGCGCGACCGGCGACGCGTTTTGAGCTCCAGAGGTGCTAAATGGGACTCGAACCAAACGAGTGACCCCACCAATGGATTCCTCGTTCGGAGAGCTATCCATTGGTGGGGCACACGTTCGGTTCGAGTCCAGTTTAGCGCCTCTGCAGTTCAAAACGTGTCTAGAATTTTGGCCGCCCCCACCGGTCTTCTGGCCCACTGTGCCCTGCTGGACCCGCCACCCAACCCGCCACCCCTGACGGCGAGGGAGACGGAATGCCGCGTCCCGGTAGTCGCGGGCGGCCCGGGCGGCCCGGGCGGGGGCTTGGCGTCAGCGGTACAGTGCCCCGCGGACGCGCGGCTTCGACTCACACGTAACTGATGGATCAGGCTCATGCACTTGCGGGGCTTCTGCTTCCAGAAGATGAATCACGCGACAAGGAACCTCCTCCCCCTCCCCTCCCCCAATTGCCGAGACAGGAAACGTTTAGAGGAGTGGCAGGATACAGTAGTGCGCTGCAAAGAGGCATCCAGACGAGCGCGGCCCGCGCGTCCCCGTGCCCGTGCGCCGAGCCGTCTGCGCGGCCGCCGGTCGGAACTCAAAGGTATTTACCCAAATGGGTTTCGACGGAGCACTCCGTGTTGCTTCGAGCTGTCTGGTGCCCCACTACGAACAGGGCCACATCGGGCATGAGGGGCCCAAGCGCACCACTCCACTAGAGAGACGCGTTCATGGCGTGGCGCTGTTTGGTGCGGCTGGGCCAGGCTGTCGCTGTCGTGCTGGCCGGCATGCCGCTGCAATAAACGATCCGCTCATGGCAGCGCTGTCGCGGTGCTGTCGCCGTCATGGCGACGCGAGGGCGTGGCGGCTTGTGGAGGTCGCGGCGGAGCAGAGAGCAGGGGAGGGTCAAAGGCGCCAAAGGGCCGAAGTGCGGTTCAGTTTAATTGCCCCTGGGCCGGCGGCGCGCGGTAGAGCCGCGGCTGGACCGCACGGTCGGCGGGATGGGCTGGTCAGGCTCGGACTCGGCCTGGGGGAGGCAGGCCGCCACGGCGGCGTCCCGGACCTCGCTAGCGATCTTGACCGCCGTCTGCGCCGAGGCCACCGCCTCGCGGGCCATGGCCCTGGCCGCCGCGGCCGAGGCCGTGGAGTGCCTGGCGGCCGCCTCGCCCTTGGGGTCCGCCTTGGCCGCGGCGCGGGCCTTGTCGCGGGCCAGGGCGGCCTCGTCGGCCTTCCTCTCAGCCGCGTCCGCGGAGGCCTCGGCCACGTCGGACAGCCGCTTGGCCTCGGCGGCGGACGAGGCCAGTTGCTGCACGACGTCGTGGTTGGATCGGCCGCCGTCGTACAGACAGCAGCCCGCCACCGCACCCCTTCGAATCTCCACAACCTGCCGGCACGCCGTCTCCGCCGCCGTCCTTTCCTCGGCGGCGGCCTGCTTGGCGACGGCGGCCTGCACCGCGGCGGCCGCGGCCTCCTGCGCCGCCTCGGTGGAGTTCCTGGGCGGGCACACGGCGGCCAGGATGTCGTGGGCGGCCTGTGCCTGGCGCGCCGCTTCGTTTGCGTGCATGGCGGCGCTCTTGGCGGCGACGCGAGCGCGCTCCACGCTGGCCTTGGACAGGCGGGACGCGGAGGGCGGCACTTGGCCCCTGGTGTCCGCCAGCGCGGCCAGCTCTGCCTTGGCGCGCTCGGCCATCTGCTGCGCCTGGCGCGCGCGCTCGGCAGCCCGCTTGGCCGCGGCGGCGGCCTCCTCGGCGTCCTCCACCGCGCTGGACACGGATACGCATCCGTCGTCTGAACTGGGGTTGGACAGGCACACTGCCTCCTCCGCAGCTTGCGCGGCGTTCTTCGCGGCGTCTGCTGCTTCCCTGGCCGCTACGACGTCCTGCTCCGCCGCCCGCACCGCGGAAGCAGCGCGGATGGCCGTCGCCGCCACGCGGTACGCGTCCGACGCCGTGCCCCTGGACAGGTCCAGCACGTTGGCGGCGTCGCGGGCGTGCTTCGCATCGCGCTCGGCCTGCTTGGCGTGGTCGGCGGCGGACATGTAGGACCCCATCGCCCTGGCCACGGACTGCTCGGCCTCCTCGCGGCCCTGCAAGCACGGCGCGCGTCAGCCCGGCGACTTCCACCTGGGTCACGGCCAAAGTGTCGCTGACCTTGTCGGAGGCGTTGCTTTTCGCGTCCTGGGCGCGCTGCACCTGCTCGCCTGCAAGATCGGACTCTCGCTGCGCGACGCCAGCCTCGTCCTCGGCGACCCTGGCGGCCTCGCGGGCCCGGAGCAGCGCTACGTCGTCGGGGCCGGCCTCGGTCAGGCAGCGCACCGCCTCGTCGGAGGCCTCCGAGGCCCTCCGCTTGGCCTCGCTGGCGCGCCGCGCGTGCTCCGTGGCTTTGTCCGCGCACTCCGCCGCAGTCCGCGTCCAGTCCTCCTCCACGGACTCGCACGACGTCGTGTCCACCCCGATGGCGCAGTTTCCCCCGCCCAGGGCGTCCGCCGCGCTGGAAGTGAGATCTTTCAGAACGCGTTCAAATGTTCGGTTCGATTGACAGCTTGACAGTGGCCTCACAGGACGCGATTCTCGGTCTCAGCCTGAGCATGTCCTGCCGTTTCAGCAGTTTCAGTCGTGTCGGCCGTCCGAGCCGCCTCTGCCTCCGCTTGCCGCTTTGCCTCTTCCGCTTCAGCGATTCTCCTCTCGGCCGCCGTCGCCGCGGCCTGCCGCGACGCTTCCTCCTCCTCCTGCAGTAGAGCCCGGTGCACTTCTTCAGCCTTGCGGCGCGCCTCCTCGGCTTTCCGCTCAGCCGCTTGCTGCCGCATTTGTTCGGACCGCCTCTCGTCCGAAGCCCTTCTCTCGTCCGAAGCCCTTCTCTCCTCCGAAGCCCTTCTCTCCTCCGAAGCCGCCCGTTGCCGGTCCTCCTGCTCGTTGAGTGCCGAGCGCGTCTGCGCGTCGTCGGCCACCTCAACGTGTTCATCGTGCTCCTCGACGGGGGCCTCATCCTGGCCGTCGTCTGCCCCCCGCAGCAAGTCGCTAGGACAAACCAGCCAATCAGTTTCTCCGACACCCCACACCCTCACACAGTCGGGCTGGCGCGCACAGCATCAACTTTCAAGAACACGTGGCGGCGAAAGTTCCCCCGAGCCGCCTCCTGTTGTAGAGCGGGGCCTCGATTGGGTTGTCGGAGACGCAGCCTCGGCGGTCCACTCGGAGCCGCGCCCAGCCGCGCCGCTGCATCGGGTCGATATGGGGAGGGCGTGCTCATTCCGAAGAGTGCCTCGTCGTTCTGTCTCTGTCCGCGTCCCGTAGCCATGGCGTAGCCATGGCGTAGCCGAGGGGTGCGAGGGAGACAGAGCGACGAGACGACTCTTCGACTTCCCTCGGCAGGGCGGCAGGGCGGCAGGGCGGCCCCAGCCCAAGGCGCGCCGCGCTGGGGAAGGGCAAGGCTGCCCCTTCGGCTGGCGCAGGGGGCGGCGCGGGGCCGCGGGGGCCGCGACAAAGCCACCACCAGTTTAATTTCTTTCTTTGAAAGCCGCATGCACCTACACTAGATTGATGGCGCTGCCGTCGCCGTCCTGCACCTGAACAGTGCTTTCGTCGCTCTGTCTCTCTTGCACGCGTGGGGCGCCCCGTCGGGGTGCGAGAGAGAGACCGCGATGAAGCACCGTTGGGAATGAGCCCTCTGGCTCGCAGCCGCAATGAGCGTGGGCGGCGCGGCGGACAATATGCGAGCCCTCGCCAACGGTCCGCGGCCCAGCAGGCTGCTTCTGAACGGGGCTTCCGTCGCCCTGTCTCTCTCGCACCCCCAGGGGGCGCCCCTTGAGCGCGAGGGAGACGGAGCGATGTTCGGGGACGGCCCGCAGCGGCCCTACAGCTGTCGGGGACAAAAGAAGCGCGGCTTGCCAAAGCTGCGACGGGCACGACGGACACGTCGGACACCTCCCCTTGATTAGTTCCTGCACTCAGAACTCAGAACACACAGAAGCACGAGGAGCAGGATTAGTGGCCGCCTGGGCGCCCGCACACTGGCCAGCATGCTGCAGCAGGGCCCCGAAGCAGAGGCCGCGTTTGACGGCCACGTCCAAACACTTCAAGGACGGGCCGCGCGAGGCGCTTCTAGACTCGAGGCGCCTCGCGGACGCGCCCCTCCGCTCCGGACCAATCTGTGCAATTGCGCGGGTAAGGCGAGACGGAAGAAAAGTTAGACGGATGCGGGGCGGGGCGGGGCCGTGTGGAGCGGGCCTGCCGCCTGCCGGGGCGGGGGCCGCCAGGGCCACCAGGGTTAGTGAAGCGCGCCCGTCTGCAAAGCGCCAAACGGAACGGGCCGATGACGCCAAGGAGGCGTCAGAAAATCACACGGAGACAAAAAGAAACGTGTTCATTTTTTTGACGGCTAGGTTGGCAGCCCGTGTGATTTGAAGACGCCGCCGAGGCGAGCACCGTGGGCACCTTTCTCGGGAGATGAAGTCGGCCGCGGCCTGCGCCTTGGTGGCGGGGGCGGGGCCGGGGGGCCTGCCGGGGATGTCCTGTGGAGACGACGACGGCCGCGGTGCAGCAGGCGCAGGGGCTGCGGGGGCGGGGGCGGGGTCGCGCGCGGGTTTGGGAGGCGGCACGGAGGCGGGGGCGGGCGGGTCGGGCTTGGGGGCGGCGGGTGGTGGCGGGGACGGTTTTTTGGCAGGGGTGGGGGCGGGGGCGGGTGTGGGGGCTGGAGGGGTGGGAGTTGGTCTGGTGCCCCCTGCAGCAGCGCCTGCGTTTTCGCCGTCGCTAGTGGAGGACGCGTGTTAAAAATAAAAAGTAAATGAATAAATAAACAAAAAAAGATCACGCGCTGTTGAAAATCTTAAAATAAAATTTGAACCGTGAAATAAAAATTAAATCGGTGGGGCTGGAACGGCTCCTGGGGGAGAATATGACGAACTTGTGACGCGATCTGGGCAGTAAACTCACCTGATGAAGGGGACGTTGAGGTCCGAGAACTTCAAGTTAGAGTTCCTGAAACAGAGAAACAGTCAATGTCAAACCTTTTTTGGCAAAATATTCGCCTCATACCAACGGCCCCTTCTTTAAGACAAGCCGAGACCCCGAGTAAGGCTCTTGTCCAGTCTACAGCCAAATGTCGCCAACTGCCCCAGCCACTTGAGGCGGTTAGTCTGGCTAAGCTCTGCGCAAAAGGTCTTTGAAGGCCACGACGGAGATGGCTTCCGAGCAATCCCTTCGAGCCGGAACCAGAGGTAAGTCTGCTTGGAGCGGAGCCTCTGCAAGAAGACACGCCGCCCGGAGCGTGTGGGTTGCCTACGTCCATCTTTCTCTCGCACCTACACGGGATGCCCCATGAGTGCGAGCGCGACGAGGTGCCCCTGGCGTCAGGGAACATCATTAGTGTCACCGACCGGGCGACCGGCGGACACCTCGGCCTGCCTCGGCCGCACAATGGGTGGGCGTCGCGTGACACATTCTCGTTTGCATTCCATACCTACAGTGTCGCCGTCTGTGTCTCTGTCACACTGTGTGTTATTCGGCCCGAGTTCGTTCCCAGAACGACTTTATTCCGCGGCGATGCGCTTGGCTTGTTCCGCGCCGCGCCGCGCTGCCGATAGTCGCGCGAGCCTGCCAATGGCAAGGTCGAGTTCAAGGTCGTGGTCACGGCCGCGCCGCCCTGCAGGACCCTTCAGGACCTGTCAGTGGAGGCGTGGCCGCGCCAACGGCAGCTGGGCTGGGCGGCTGGGCCTCGCGGCGGGCGGCACGGCGGCACGGCGGCACGGCGGACTCGGCTCGGACGCCCGAAGGGTACCGGGGGGCGTGGCGCTCGCCGAGGCGCGGCGTGCGGCGGCCGGCGGCTCAGAGCGCCGCATCTGCCAGGCTCATTCCGCACGGTGGTTTCGCCGCTCGCTCTGTCTCTCTCGCGCCCGCACGACACGCCCCATGAGTGCGAGAGAGACAGAGCGACTGAAACATTGTTCGGCACCAGGCCGCCAGTTACGCCGCTCCTCGCCGAAGCGCCGACGTCGACGGGCTCGGCTTCCTGGCAACAGCCTCCCCGGCGGCGCACGGCGGCGGCGAGACCGCGCCGCGGCCCTCGCCTTGGAACAACGACCAAGGGAGCCGAGGGAGCCGAGGGAGCCGAGGGAGCCGAGGGAGGCCCAGGGACCCACGAACCGACGGACAAAGATAACACTCAGCAGCTGACGATCAAAATAGACGCGGACGCAACCGATGGCGGGTGTAGTGTGAGAAAACGAGGTGGCGTGGCGCCGCGCGGCAATCGGAGGGGCGGGGGAGCAAATGAGCGAGGAAATTTTTTAGGGGGAGCATTATTGGCTCAGCCGGCACTCTCCCTTTCGCCGCCGCGCAGGTGTTTCTAGTTTAATACATTCTGCGTTCGACTGGGAGTGGCAAATGGCACTCTGAGGCAGAGTTTCGAAGACTTTGGGAGTCTGAGTTTTCACAGTGGTGGAGGCGTCGACTGGTCTCCGGTCGACGCCGAGGTCCAGCAGGCAGCGGGCCAGTCCCGGCGGAGCCAGGCCCGGCGCCACCGCGGCGCACCGCGAGCCGCGGCCAAGGCCGATGCGGCCGCCTCCCCCCTCTCCTCCCCCTTCGCCCGGAGCCCCGGCCCGGCTTGGCTTGGCTTGGGTTGGGTTGGGTTGGGTTCGGCCTGCGTTTCGCCAGATATGGGGTAGGGGTGTCTCCGAGGCCCGGCTGGCCGCGGCGGTGTTCAGTAGGGGGCAGGGGCGTAGGCAGGGGCCCAGGGTAACATCGATCGGGGCATCAGAGGCGCCCCCGCCGAGGGCCCCGCCGAGGGCCCCGCCGAGAGGGTCCCACTTTCCCTTCTCGTTCCCCGAGCCCTTCCTCGCGGCTTTCACCGCGGCCGGTCCAAGGAGTCCAAGGAGCCCAAGGCCGCCGCCGCGCTGCACCGCAGGCACCGCAGTTTCCCACGCTGGAGCGTCGCCGCCGAGATGGGCGTGGTGGTCTAGCTCGTCTAGCCCACCACCCGGAAGGGGGCACGCATGGGGCCTCATGTGTGGAAACCGTGGTTTGGACTGTCTTTAGGCGGACACTGAGTCCAATCCAAGAGGGAAATCGTACTCCCTCCAACGGGCAGTATTCTTTGATGCTTCGTTTACCATGCCTTTCCTACGGAGTGCGATATTGCATGGATTTGGGCGCAGTGATGCTGTAAAGTTGGTCGAAACGGTGAGGTATGTCCTGGGGACAGCCATTCGCAGTTCCGCCTGGGCATTCACTGGGCATCCAGATAGGCCGGCGCCAAGTTCACTTTCACCGCCAAGGCCACGTCACGCCCACCCCGCCCCGCCCCGCCCCGCCCCTCGCATCGAGCTGGAATCGTTTTGTCGCCGCTGCCGCAGCGACCGTGGGGCCCGGAAAGGTACAACTAGCAGCAAGGCCCACAGAACGGCGCCTGAATCATTCATCAGCTGGGATGAATTTGCTGGTGTACCGGCAGTGCAGGCGTGGCGGGGGCGGGGGCCGTGCCTCGACTACCCCTGCGGCTGCCCCTTGAGATTCGCCCTGCGTGCACCGAGACCGCCCAGGCCGCCGAGACCGAGGGGGTGGGGTGGCCATGACCGTGGCCTCCGCCCTGCCGCCATCCCACTGCCTGCTGCCCCTGCACCGCGGCCCGCGCGCCCCGAGGCCCGCCCCGCCGCCAGCCCAGCCGTGCTCGCCGTGCTGCGTCCTGACGCTCTTGGAGAGGATGAGCTAGGGCCGCGCCGTGGCGCCGTGGGGCTGCAGCTGGGTGGCGGGCGAAGCATAGCGAAGCCCGTTGACGTCACAGTCAGTGTAGTCAGCCAGGGCGAGGCGTGAGAACGCCGTGCCCGTCAAACCGCTGCTTGCGCTGCTTACGCCGCTACACCGCTACACCGCCATTCCAATCACAAATCCCATTCGCTGCCATTTCCATAAGCCGGTGCCCAATGCACGCCGCCACTGGCGTCGCCTCGCTTCGTTCCCGCTCGCATCGCTTCGCGCCTCGCGCCTCCCTCCAGCAGGCACGGAGCGCCTGGCAGGTAGGCAACGCGAACGCACAGGTGCGCTACGGCACTGCCTACTGGCACGGCGCTTGCCGCTCCGGACTCAGGAGGGAGCCTTCAAGACGTGGGTCTGCCCTCATTCTGCGCCGTGAGGTTTGCAGAAAATTCGGCCCCTTCGCCAGCCTCGCTGCGGACAAGTCCTGGACATGTCCTGTTCATTCCAAAGTCCATTCAAAATTCTGGCCGGTTGGAACCGGTTCCCCCTGGGGCCATAACGCCCTGCTCTGCCACCGAGCCCGCCACGGCCCTGCCCTACGAAGTGACACTACGGCCCCACCGCCGCCCCCGCCCCGCCCCACCCCGCCCCGCAGCATTGTGCACACCGAGGGCTTCCTGTCGGCCGGGCCGTGCCGAGCCCAGCCGGTGGGGTGGGGCGGGGCTCGGTAGCCGTCAAGCAAAGCCGCCACTGTCACAACGAAACACGGCGAGACAGGTCAACAAGGCGTGCCCGAGCCACTTAGGGTCAATGTTGGGATTACAAAACACGTGGGGACGTTGGGGAGCGACGGGAAGCGGTCCGCCGTTGCGGGGATTCGAACGCGCGACACCCAAACAGACGCCCCGCGGGTGCGAGCATGCGAGCATGCGAACAGGCGGTCGAACGGACCGGGCCACCGCGCCGGGCAGCCAGCGTATCCTTGTATCCTTGCCTGTGCTTCCTGGTTGTGGCGGGCCGCGTTAATTTGTTGTTTGAGGAAGAGTGCGTGTCCCTTCGTGTTCGCGGGGACGGCGGGGACGGCGCGGTGGGGGAGAGCTATCTGGCCGTGCCGGCCGTGCCCTCTGCTCGACCCCCACGTAGGACGACCCCCTAGGGGGTGGGGCGGGGCCGGGTACCCCCATCACTACGTCCTCACGCGCCGTCCCGTCCCGGTCCGCCCCGGTGGCCCAGGCCAGGCCGGCCCAGGCACGAGTTGGCAACAACACCCTGCTTCTATTAAACATCAAAGAGCGGTGCCCTGCCGGTGCCCTGCCGGTGCCATGGCAGCCCTGACATGACCCTTCGGTTTTGCGGCCCATCGGGGCCCTACCCTTTGTCTTGCAAGCTGTGGGACACTAAGGACCATACCCGGCGGCCGGGCCTCACGGCAGGCAGCCGAAGCCATTCATCGACGTGCGAGTTGTTAGTTGGCCCACCCTGGTCGTCGGATGCAGGGTACCTCCTGCCTCCCGCCTGGACCCACGCCAACGCTCACTGCATGTACACCGTGTACACACCCCCAGTCTGCTTGGAGACACACCCACACTGTGCGGGCCACAGCACCGCCACTCCGAGGAGGGGGGATAAATATATCAGCTGTGAGAGAAGCAGGATTAAATCCCTCCCTCCTCCTCACCGAGACCCCCCTTTCGTTGGGGCAGGGCGAGGATCGCACCCAGGATCCCGTCGGTCCTGTCTGGCTGAAACTGCACTGCCGCCGCGGCCGCTGCCCCGCCCGCTGGACTGCCGACAGACAGTGTAGGCGGCCGAGCATACAATAACGTGTAAACACTTCGGCTGCCAAGCAGAGTTATGGTTGTTTACTCGGTGCATTGCCGAGGCTGGGCCTAGGCTGGGCCCAGGGCCCAGCGCTGGCAACGGCTGACATGAGCTGGGCTGGCATGCAGGCATTGAAAGCGCTTCAAAACACCCCGACGGTGGTTGCCAGCGGTTACTTCACGCTCCCAGATATCACCTCAACTCGCGCCGGCGGTGACAGAAGAGCCGGATGCAGCCGAGCCAGCCGAGGGTCTTGGCTCGTTTGGCGGGGCGTGTTTGGAGCAGGCGGCATGTGCACAGCGCGCACAGCGGGCCAGAAGACCGGTGGAGGCGGTCAAAAGCCCGGACGCGTTTCGAGCTCAGAGTCGCCGAATGGGACTCCAACCGAACGTGTGACCCCATCAATGGATTGCTCTCCAAACGAGGAATCCATTGGTGGGGTCACACGCTCGGTTTGAGTCCTGCTAAGCGACTCTGGAGCTCAAAATGCGAGTAAAGTTTCGGCCGCCTGCGCTGGTCTTCTGGTCCACTGTGATGTGGTTGCCAGTGCTCTGTGCTTTCCCTGTGGCTGCCAGCGCGTTCTCTATGGAGAATCGCAGAGCGGCTGCCAAGAGCAGAGTCGGGCCGTTCAGCAAAACGGTTTCCTGGTGATTCCGCCGAGCCGAGCAGCGTGCCAATGGACAAGGGCGCATTTTTCACGTCCAAGGTCCCGTCCCTGACGGAGGGAGAGGGCTCGGAGAGGGGCGGGGACGGGGATGGCAGTGTAGAGGACGCGGTGGAGGAGGGCGCGGGTGTTGCCGCGCGTCAGCCCCGCCGAGATCACGCCTAGGTATTTTTACACGGCAGCGCCGCGCTCGCCTCGCGCCGCCTCCTCCACGAAGACAAGGCGGCCGAGGGGTTTGCTGGCCGGCCGGCCTGGCCAAGGGCCTGGCGTGGCCAAGGGCCTGGCGTGGCCAAGGGAAGTGCCTGGCCGCGACGCCCCGCCGCACGTCCGCGTCGTTCAAATTGCGCAATCGATAACGCGTCAAGCCCGCCGGTGGTGGGTTCGACGGGGAGGTGACGTCGTCGCCGGCTGCCCGGCCGCACAGTGGGCCAGAAGACCGGTGGAGGCGGCCAAAACTCTAGACGCCTTTTGAGCTCCAGAGTCGCTAAACAGGACTTGAACGGAACGTTTGACCCCTACAATGGATTCCTCGTTCGGAGAGCAATCCATTGGTGGGGTCACACGTTCGGTTCGAGCCCCATTTAGCGACTCTGGAGCTCAAAACGCGTCTAGAGTTTTGGCCGCCTCCACCGGTCTTCTGGCCCACTGTGGGCCGCCCGGCCGCCCTGTCGCGGGACGAGGACTAGCGCCACTCGGGCGTTGTGACTCGATTTCGGTCCCGCTCCGCTCCACGCTTCACGCAAATTTGAGCATCGCGTCTCCTCCGCGCAGGGCTACGCAGGGCTACGCGGCGTGGCGAGCTATTCTCAGCTTTCGCGCGTTGTGCGTTCTGGCTGCCCCGGCCGGGCCCGCAGGGGCCGGAGGGGCCGAAGGGGCGCGCCCTCGCGCCGCTATAAAACTGTCCCGATGCACAATGCTCTCCTTAAAGTGCGCCCTGAAATATTGTTCCAAGTGAAGCGCGGCGCCGGCAGGATGTTCGTTAGTCGTGGCCCGTGGGTGGCGGGTCGGCGTCCGCTGCCGCCGATGAGGGAGAGTTCAAGTTCGTTTTACCCGAAATGCGGGATTTGAACCTCCGACTAGAGACTCGGGCGAGGGCCTTCCCGTGACTGACAACACGGCATACGCCTCCAGCGAGCAGCGCATGAACTCCAATTACTATAATCGTGAACGAAAAACGAAAAAGGGCAGTCTTCTTCGCGTCTAATTTCCACCAACGACGGACTCGTGCGTGGCGCGTGTGCACGCGAGGCCGCGGGCCGCAATGCGGGCTGTGGCCTCGGCCTCGGCCAGGGCCTCTGCACGGTTTCGTGGCAGAGACCCTCCCCTCGCAGGGGCCTTGCCGGGCCTTGCCGTGGCAGAGACCTTGTCCTTGCAGTGCAGCGGCATCGATTTTGCACTGAGCGGATTGGCAGCCGAAGCCGGGCTCACTCTGAAAACCTTACAAACTACTACAGGCACTGCAAAGAAAATGGTATGTTCTTACTTTTGACCATATCAAAGAGAATTGTTGGTAATTTTGCCAAGTAATTTTTCATGTAAAACAATAAAACATGTGTACTATGTTTTACATGCTTAAAATGCTGCGCAAGGTTTCGCCTGGTACACCGTTGTCGCTGCTTCAGTCTTTTTCAGCTTCCTGCTTGCGACATGCACTTCCCGAACCATTCTTCCGTGTAAGTTTGCTTTTTCACGAACCGCTCTCCTGTTCGAGTACGACTACGTATAGCCAGCAGACAACGTGGTCGAGCCTTTGGAAATCTCTCAGGTTCACACCTGCGACCGAAGACTGATTCCGAGAGTCGTTTCCGACGCTCTGTCTCTCTCGCACTCATGGGTCTTCCCGTGTCGGTGCGAGAGAGACAGAACGACGAAAACGACTGTCGGTGTCGGTCTGCAGCGGCCGGCCCGCAAGACGCCTGCAAGGTAGGCAACGCGAGCGCAGGCCTGCCACGCCCAACTGGCGATTGCCTACAGTGCAGGCGCCGTGCCGCCCGAACTTGAAGGCCGCCGCACCTCGACTTGCATTGCCTTGCCGCCGCTCCCAGAACCGCGAGTATCGCCACGACAGCAAAGATACCCCCCGCCGACGCGCGAAGATACACCCCGTCCTGATGCTGCGGGTAGAGACGCGGCGCGAGGCCCGCGCGGCCGGGGTATCGCCACCGCGGCGTGCGGCCGTGCGGCCCGTGCGCACGGGGTATGTTTTGGCGGGCGTGCCAAGACGCGGGCTGCACACGCGTGCTGCGAGTGCGCGGTGCGCCCAGCACGTGCTTCCGATCGTATATCACCGTTTTCCTGGTTGCGCCACCGCCGCCACCGCGGACATGCACGTCGTAACGAAGTATGATTTGGCTCGGAGGTGACAGGGCCGTCTTGGTGCGCCTTTGTGGTGCCGGCCGCACCGCTACACTAGACTACGTGCCCGCGCACTGAGCGCACTGAGATTGCAGGTTGCAGGTACTCACTTGACTGCGAAGTAGGCGTACCACAGCGAGTACATGATGCCGTTTTTGACGCGCTTGAGCCGCCCAGTCGAACCTCTGCGGACAAGGAGAACAGCAAATGTGTCAAGTGCTCGCGTTCGAGTCCAAGCCGCGAGTGGAGTCCGCGTGTCTGCGCCTGCAGGTTCAGGAGGGTCTCGACCACCTGAGGCGTTTGCGACGGCAACGTGACGCCAGTCACACAGTCCATTGCGTGCATTCCACTCCCACCCCCGCCCGCCCCGCAGTCGGCCCGCTCGAGGGCGACCTACTCCAGAGCGCGCGTTAAGCGACACTGTCAGAAGAAGTAAACGCTTGAGGAAACAATGTGATGACTTGGTGCGCAGCGCAGCGGCCGCTTCCGGCGGACACGGCAGCGACATGCAAAGTGCAGCGCAAATTGCAGCGCAACCCCTAGAACCCAATGACCCCGTTCCTCCTTCCTCCCCTCCATGTTCTCCCCCGCAGTCCGCACAGAGTGTAAACATGGAGTCGGGCAGCAGCACAGTTTGACGGCGATGGATGCGGGGGCCGAGGCCCGCGTTGTCACCACTGCACTGGGAATGAATCAGCACGGCGGCGAGGGAGACCGCCCTGGGGCTGGGCGAGGCTGGCGAGGCTGGCATGCTCGGCGCGGCCACAGCGGGCATTGGCTCGCTGCCACCCGAAGCGGCGGTCAACATAACCTCAACGAGGACCTGCACTGGGCTATCTTCGAGGCGCCCCGGCTGCCTGGGCCTCCCTCCGGGGCCTGCAGCAAGTGCAGCACGGCCCCGACGGCGTGCGCTCACTTCTAGGTGCTAGAACGCCGCAAGGCGCCACTACGGGGAGGTGAAGCGAGGGGGTTGGCGAGGAGGGGTGCAAGGGGGTTGGTGTAACCCACCGAAGTGTGAACCAGCCCTGAGTCTGCTGCTCTCGCCGCGCGGGTCACATCCAGGACAGCAGCGCCACGCACTCGGACACCTCCACGACACCACCACCCGGGCAGCCCGGGTTGCCTTCGCGTCGGGCTGGACGGCCAGGGGCTAGACGACCAGGGTCTTGGCCAGGACGAGGAACGAGCGCGGACGGGACGGGAAGGCACGGCACAGAGCGAGTGCTCAGGACATGGACGAGGTCCTCGCGGCCGCCGAGAGAGGGCGCTCGTCGCGCCAAGCTCGCCAACAGCTGGTCGGGAGCCCGCCAAGTCATGGGTGCCGCGGCCACGGCGTGGCGGGGAGGGGAGGGGGAGGTCGATACCGCGTTGCTGCCCGCTTCAAGGAGGGCGTCGTCCTGCCCTGGGTCCTCCCTCCCGCACTCCCTCCCCGCGGTCCCGCGAGACCCGTGGCGGGAGGGGCGGGTACGTTCCCGTCGACGCGGCGTCCGCTACATGCTCGTTGCAACGAGTCCCTGCACTTGTGACATGCCCGAAACACGAAGCCAGTCTCCGTCCCCCCCGACTACGTCCTGGCAGTCCTGATGGTGTAGGCCCATGCGGCATGGACAGAGCGGCGGGCAAGCGCTCGAGTCGAACTTGGCGCCAGGCGACTTTCTCATACTGCCAGTGGCGCGAGACGACGCGAGATTCGAGCGACCCGACTCGCTGTTGCTCGCTGTCAGTGTGAGGGTTTTCAATGCCTCGGTTCAGGAACGGCCAAACCTGGCGCCTGTCGACCAGCCTTTGACTTGCGCTGCTCGAGGTGGACTGGGGCCGACGGCACACCCCTTCCGCATCGCGGCCGGTGGACCTGCTTCTTGGACACTCGGTGCACGGCGCGGCACGGGGCGGCGCGGGCGGCGTGGCGAGGATTGGCGCCAGTCGCCTGCAGTGTGCCTGCAGGGCCTGCAGTTGCCGCGCGCGCACGAAACAATCGCAGAAACTCCACTTCCAGATGGCCGTGAATTGTTGCACTCCTCCTCGTGGTGCTCGTGGCTTTGGCATTCCCTGCCGGCTCGACGTTTGAAATAAAATGCTCAGCTTTCCGCGAGGCTCTGAGGACCTCACTAGGGAGAGAGGGACTTTCCCGCCGATCGTTTGGCACCACTGCGTGTGTGTCTGTGTGCATGGTTGGAAGCACTGCGACGGATGGTACGCCTGCCTGGTACTTCCCGCGGGCGGGGCGGGGCGGGGCGGCCGGTATCGCTATCTCCGCGTGCCGCGGTGACGTCGCGCCGCACCTCCTTGTCGGCGTTCAGACCGCTCCGCTCAGCCGCGCAGCCACACTGCTAGTCTCGCCCGAGCCGCACTCGCCGCTATCTCTCTCTGAATCACGCAGTGCGCTCACACGGGCTTGGCCCGCTAGTCCGCTCGCTCGGGTCGCATCCGCACACGGCCCGCGGTGCCCACTGACAGGTTGTCGCCGTCGACGTCTCCTCGTCTCCTCAGTGTAGTGCCCTGCCTCGGTGCGGGGCTGCGTGAAACGGCCTTGTTCGCGGTGGCCTACAAGAGGTTCGTAACGAAGTAGTTCCGGGCTGCAGAATGATTCCGCGAGTCGTTTTTGTCGCTGTCTCTCTCGCGCCTGTTCGGGATGTGCAGCGCGAGAGGGACAGAGCGACGAAAACGGATCGGTCTGCTGCAGCCTGCACCTGAGCGCGGAGATGCACCGCTGCAGATAACGTGTGACGTCAGGGACGTCGCGGACGCGCGCACTTGGTGGAACAAAGTGAGCATGTCGTGCCGGTCGCTTAGAACAAAACAAACGGGCCGTTCCGTTCAGGTGGCCATGCGTCGAGATGGTGGCGGTGGTGGCGCTGTGGTCGGCGCTCGTCCTCACGGCGCTGCCCGCGTCCTCGACCCCGTCGGCCGAGGCCGCCGTTGACGGCCCCGGCGGCCATGGCGGCCCGCACTGGCGCTGGACGGGGGCGGGGGCCTGCCCCTACTTCTGCACCTGCTTCAAGCACGGCCACCTCCGACGAGTCGAGTGTGCCCACAAGGGGCTGGGCGGCGTGGACGTGGGGCTGCCTAGGGACACGGAGGCCGCAGACCTGAGCCACAACCTCATCTCGTCGCTGGAGGATGGCTGCTTCCAGGTACTAATTGAAGGTTGGCGGGTAGGCCAGCCTATAGGCCAGCCTGCAACGCAGCGCTGCCGGCATCCGTGCTCTGGTTGACTCGGCTGCCTTGTCGACTTGCAGGAGCTGGGGCTCGTGCAGCTGCAGGAGCTGCATCTGCAGCACAACGCCATCCGCGCGGTGGGGTCGTGGGCGTTCACCGGGCTGCGGCGGCTGCGCGTGCTGGACCTGTCCTACAACCACCTGCAGACGCTGTACGCCAACACGTTCGCCTCCAACCGCGGCCTCAACACGCTCGTTCTGGCCGGCAACAACCTGGCGCGGCTGCCCGCGGACCAGCCGCTGCCCGCCGCGCCGCGGCTGCAGGTGGGGCGCCCGGCGGGGTGTGACTCCTCCAGCCCCTCTTCAAGGACTGTCGAGTGAATTCACTGCTACCCGCGCACAGTGGGCCAGAAGACCGGTGGAGGCGGTCAAGATCCCGGACGCGTTTTGTGCTCCAGAGTCGCTAAATGGGACTCGAACCGAACGTGAGACCCCACCAATGGATTGCTCTCCGAACGAGAAATACATTGGTGGCGTCACACGCTCGTTCCAAGCCCCATTTATAGAGACTCTGAAGCTCAAACCGCTTCTAGAGTTTTGGCCGCCGGCGCCGGTCTTCTGGCTCACTGTGCCACGTCGTTGTTGTTGCTGCAGGTCCTGGACTTGAGCGGCTGCAGGCTGGCGCACGTCGGCGCCGTCGTCCTCTCCGACATGCCCGCGCTCGCCAACCTCAACCTGTCCGACAACTTCCTCATCCAGCTGCAGCCACAGGCGCTGGCCGCTCAGCGGCAACTGCAGGTCAAAAATACGCCACTTCTGTCTTTCCTTTGTTTTCGCATTCTAAGCGGACAGCGCAGAAAATGGCGAGGTGCCCCCTTCTCGGTTGCAGGTTCTGGACCTGACGAGGAACCCGCTGGCCTGTGACGTCAACACGCGCCAGTTCGTGAAGCAGCTCGAGGCGCGCAACATGACAGTGCGCCACTCCTGCCCCGCCAAGGCCGCCAAGGAAGACCAAAGCCAAATCGTACAAACTTTATTTTGCCAAACTCTCCTACTTTTCAATACTGAAGTGACATGAAAAAGACCCGTTTTTGGCGAGCTCTGGAATAACGCTGCAGTTTTGGTGGGGCTGTGTTTAGATCTCCAAGTCCATGGCCAGAATCCTGGCAGACATTGGTGGCGCCCGGCCCCAGGACGAGGTGCGGCCGAGCTCGGACCGCGAGGACGACGTCGAGGTTGTTGGCGCGCAACCTGCACGACCGCCCGGCCGCACGCACGAGGCCATGCTGGACATAGCCGACTTGCCCGTTTTGGTCCCAGGTAAAGTCCAAGAGAAGTCGGGCAGGGGGAAAGGAACGGAGTATTCAAAAGCCGCGTTGTCTTTTCAGACGGCTTCGTCGACGGCGACCTCGTTGACTTTGACCTCGACGAGGAAGACCAGGTGTCATCGGCGACGACCGCGAGTCCCGGCGGGCACAAAGACTGCAGAACCCTGTTCCCCGAAAGGATCCCGATGAACCCCGACCTGGTGCGGCAGTGGTTCGATCACATTCCGTCGTTCTGGGCGAGCGTCGCGGGCTGCCAGGTTCGTCCGCGCCCTTGCTAACTTAACGCATTTTTGAGGGCTTTGTCTGAAAGTCGAAAACAATCCAGAGAAGACGACGCGGTTTGACCTGTGCCTCTGACCCGTGCCTGTTCCAGGTCGGCCTGGTGCTGGGACTGTGCCTGTCGTCCTGCCTGTGTCGCCGGTCCTTCTGGCGGGCGCTGTGCGCGTGCCCGTCGACCGGCAGACGCCTCGACGAGCACGCCCGTCTCCGCGAGCAGGGCCGCCCCGCGGGCCGCCCGGACATCTCGGATTGGAACCGGGCCATCGTCGCCCTGGGGCTGGGAGCCCCGATCCCCACTCCCGACTCGAGGGGCTCGAACGTATCCGACGAGTCGACGCCCTGCTTGTGGAGGGACTCGTTCACGTCGCTGGAGCGCTTGCATTTGCAGCGGCCGGAGACACCACCGCCCGCCTATGAGGACCTCGAGCGCGGCAGGCTGCGTCGCGCGTAGCATGACATTCACTTCTCCCATCTTGGTCACTTAATTTCAATGTGTCCCCTTATTTATTGCGTTATTTAATAAAATGGCCCACCTTGCCGGCGCGTCAGCGTTTATAGGTGCAAAAGAGTTCCCGTCGTCTGTCATATAGGCAACGCCTACTTCTGAGCGAGTTGCTGGCTGTGTGGACTAAAGAGCCGATTGCCACGGGGAATTTTCGGGTTCGAGTCCCGGGAGCTCGAATCTTTTCCTGAGTTTAGTTCCCAAATCCTGTACAATGGGATAAAGATTGGGTGGCTCCAATAAGTAGATGTGTCATTATAGCTCAGATGGCAGAGCACCACCAGAGGCACAAAAAGGACCTGGGTTCAACGCCCAGGCAAGACGAATCTGTCCCAGAACTTGACTGATGACACATGTGTGTAGCATTCGAACCCAGATCATGCTCGTAGAGGGCAATGCTCTTGACGTGTCGAATGGATGGCTTACCTTCGCGGCGCCAGGGTTCAGAAATGAATAAAGCCTGAGTCTTTAACTTTGTCTTTTTAAAATGATATCTAAACTTTATTCCTTTCCAACATACACAGCATAAAGGCACCACTTAACATGACTTAGATAAGCACAAACAATAACTAGGTCAGGATACATGAAGCGGCCCTTTACATTTCAAATACATAAAACATCACAGCACAGGCAGCCCATTCAAGGAAAATATTGTGCTGAACTTGACTGGGGTGGCAGCCAGGTAGAATGAGAAGCGTTGATCTGGAGGAAGCATACATGACACAAAGTAAGACATTAAAACCTATGTCTCCCAAATGTGAGATTTAAAAGCAAAGAAATTTCAGTATCTTTATGGGCAGCAATCATGATGATAAAATAATGCATACAGCTCTAACAAACAAGTAAACAATGTTTAGTCATGTTCACACTTAAGACGAGAGCAGGCAACAGAAATACATTTTGCCCATTGTCACCTCACGCTCTTAATCATTATCGACAATTTATTTAATTTTGGTAGAGAATTGATTTGAGCTGATATGATGAACTGTTTGCCATATTATTATAGCACATTGTCAGGTACAAAAATACAAACACAATTTCAACAATAACTGTTCCATGGCAGCATTCCACTAGAAAAGACTTGTTCATAGAAATTGGATTTGATTCATTAGAATAGGATGTATGAAAGTCTTGACTTTTTCTCAATAGTCTATCTTAAAATTAACAATAATTGATAAAAGGCACAATCACATAAAGGTAAGCAAGTGATAATAATAAAAATACATACAATTAAAATAATCTATAACTGGCATAAAATTTTAAACTACTGTAATCACTTTTTTATTTTATTTTTTGCTGTCTCAATGTGACTTAACAAACTTTCAGACTTTTACCTTTGACGTCCTTCTGCTTCACACATTACATTAATAAATGTCCACATGGCTTTGAAATCTGAAAGTAGTATTATCCATGATGTAAATATTACATTTACACCAAACCAATATGCATGCACAACTACAAACCTTCTCTAATAGAACTACAAAACAATTTAACATAGGTGGCATTACGATAAACCCAGAACAACACAACCCTGATTTTTGGACACTGCTTTTGAGTGGAAAATTATCTAGCAGAGTGCAAACATTTCCAATGATTTACTTTATCAGTCTCAGTATTTTTGTTGCCACTTCTCCCAAATTCCTCCAAATGTTTGCTCACGCAAACACCACTGTCTTTTATCACTTTCTGCAATTTGTTCTCTAAAGTATCAGCTCAGACTGATAGTCGGATCGAGAACCAACTCTGTAATGTTGATGTAGTTGGCATCTGAAGCAAAGTTTTCAGCTAGCTGAGCAAATGAAGGTCGATCACGGGGCTGGAAAGCCCAACATTGCTCCATTATCCTGTATACATCATCAGGGCAGCGGTCCGGTTGTTGCAGACGTTCACCTCTCATGATCAGTTCCGTGACCTGAAATACAGAAAGACCCAAGTGTTAATGAAAAGAAGTTAAAAAAGTAAAGTTCAAGCTAAAAAAATTATTTCCTTACCTCGATTCCTTTCATATCACCATAGGGTTGTTGGCCAAAGGAAAACATTTCCCACAGCGTCACACCAAAACTCCATACATCACTTGCATTTGAAAAATTTCCAAAATTGAATGACTCTGGAGCATACCTGACACAGAAATTAAAAAAAATAATCATCTTGAGACAAAATATTATGAGGCAGGAAAAGAACCAGCAGGCACAAATCACATTCTTTCTCACCATTTTATAGGCCATCGTCCTCCTTGGGTTGCTTTATAATAATCTTTCTCCAGAAAAGAGCGAGACAAACCAAAATCACTTATTTTTGCCTGGTGTCGGGATGCCAAGAGAATGTTGCGGGCAGCTAAATCTCGATGGACAAACCTTTGCTCTTCAAGGTACTTCATTCCTAAGAGCAAAACAAAGCATTAGATATTACACATAGATAGATATTACGATATAATGTTACATTGCCTTTAAAAGACATTGTGCCTGAACATTAACTCTCACCAGAAGCAATTTGTGATGCCCACACTCTCAATTCGTATGATGGATTGATCCTCTCAGGATGTTCCAATAGATATTGTAGCATGGAACCTAAAGGAACCAGCTCCTGGACCTGTACATTAAAATAATAATAAGAAAAGTTTCCTGAACGCAATCATGATTTGTACATACACTTCAATGCAATTACTAACCATGCTAAGAGGAGGCCCATAAGAGATTCCAATTAACTTAACAACACATGGATGACGTAGTCTCATCATTACACATGCTTCACGAACAAATACATCTCGATCATAAAATGCATGTTCCTCACGTAAAGTTTTAATGGCTACAGCTACCTAAAAAAGAGGAAAGAAAGAAAGAAAAGATACTATTAATAATCTAGGCTGGAAACTAAAAAATTAATGACTTGCTGAAATTTTTTATCAGAATGGCTTACCTCTTGCCCACTTGATTCTGTATACTTGCCCTTGAATACAGAGCCAAATTCACCCTCACCAATCACTTCTCCAAACACAAGTTTTTCAGCAGGAATGTGACCTGGAAGCGTTACATTATGAAGTTAAACACTGATCCTCATCACAACATTAGAACCAACATACAATTCAAGCAGCATACCTTGTTGAGTTTCAAGTATCCGGCTCACAGAGGAAGAGGAGATATGACTATTGATTGTATTGTTATTGAAAAGTGATGCTGCTGTTGGAATACTAGGCATAGGGGCAGTATGAATGTGACTTGTATGAGGTGAGAAGGAATTGGTGTTTGATATAAGTGCAGCAAGTGGAGCGGAATGCATTGAAGTCAAAGGAGGAACTGTTGGGATGCCAAGTTCGGGAGGGTCATTGCGATAACCACCTGAGAAACCCCGGCCAACAGTACAATTCCCGTTCACTCTCGAGTCTCCGTGGCGATTTTTTGGCCTCCTTGAAGGAAGAGTAGATGAGAGCTGTAAGAGAGCAATTCATTCATCACATTTCTGATAGCTGCAATTGTATTTCACCTACAATGAAAGTACATACCCCTTGTGGTGGCATTTCTGGCACCTTGGGTTTAGGTTTCGGTGTGACTGGGAACTGGAGCGTCGTGGGCAGTCCATCAGAGAGGAGTGTATAGTAGTCAATAACATGTTCTAATGTGTTGTGTAAGGGTCCAGAGTCAATAAAATAATAACTATTCTGTTGAGGATAGAAATGGAAAAATTTAGTAAAGAGACAGAACATGATTATTTTATAAAGATAATAATATGATGAAACTGATACAATCTTACCTCTTTCTTGATTTGATAGTGGAAAAACTGTCCTCTATGATGAATAGAGAGCACATCAGCTCGATGGCGGTTACTGTACCTCACCAAAAACACGCCATCCTGTTCTTTGCACTTTTGAAGTATACCCTCAGCTTCACACCTGTCCAGAGTGCCGTGATGCCATGATTCACGTTTACTTCGTGGGGCTGGAGGTTTATAATCGAGTAGCATTTTGGCACACTGGGAAAAACCATTCATCTGTGCCAGATCAGCTGGAGTTTGATTGTCAACAGTTCTGGGATGGGCAGGTGCATTCAGGGACAAGAGCACATTAATAACATCAATGTGGCCATTGCTAGCCGCCTCATGCAGTGGGACGTGACCTGTAAATTTAACCTCTTTACTGTTTCTTTCAACAAGGGATAAAATTCAAACCATGAATTTTCTGACCCACCTGTTTCAGTGTGACGTATTTGAATATTTGCTTCCCCCATGTCAACCAATATTCGAGCAGTACTGGCTTTATTATTTCTACAGGCATACTAGACAGAAAAACAGGAAAAATAAAAAATAAAGAGTGATGAAAGATTATAAGAGACTGAGATGATCTGTTGTGCCTTTGTTTCTGCAGTCTGTTAGCGGAAAAACCAGTAAAATTGTATTTAGTACTTACATGCAATGGAGTGTAACCTGCAGTGTCACGACAGTTGATATTTGCTTTGCTTTCAATTAATTTTTTCAGAATATCATCTTGCCCAAGGCGACTGGCCACATGAACAGCCGTTTGGCCATCTTCATTTTTGGCGTCTAGACTTCGATACTGACATTTCAACAATTCAGAGACAACTTTGTAATTTCCTGCAAAATAGACAAGAAAATAAAAATAATATAGGAAACAAAATTTAATAAAAGGTTGGGATTGTCAATGAGTCAACAGTACCCTCCCTTGTTGCTCTGTGCAACAAATTTGTTGTGCCATGGCGGCGTGATGTATGAGGGGGAGGGTCCTGCAGTCTTGGTGGTCGAGAAAGTCGCACATCAGGCCCTTCTCCATGATAATAGTCAATGAGGGTGTCGAGACCATGGATAATTGTCTCTTCATCTGGGGTAAGACAAAGAAAAAACATATAAGTCTCATAAAATTCATAATTACAGAAGATTTAAATGAAAATTAAAAATGACCTATAGAGAAGAAGGCATCTTCTCCATGGCGCCTGATTTGATAATGAATCACATCATTGTTGTGCAGGACTGAGAGGACATAGTCACCAGGTGAAGTGTTACTTTCACGAACGAGGAAGAGGCCATCTTCTGGTGACTCAGCTGAAACATAATTAGATTTGATCTTAATAATAAAACAATCCAAAGGCAGAAAAAAAGTGACAAAACGTAAATATAGTTAATGAGAAAACCAACACCAATTATAACATACCACTTTAATATGGTTTGGTCCAGCAGCATGCAAAATACACCATATCAACAAGGGACTTTACATGTCTTTAAGAGGTACCCACTTTCACACAATTGTTTTAAATATTGTCAACACTTTTATAAGGTTACTAATCTGAAGTCCGATAGACCCCTTATCCCTTCAAGTTCCCCATTGTAGTCTACCATGTTCAATTTCAGTGTCCAACATAAAGCGGGTTTCCACGTAGTTTGAATAGTATTATTACAGACAACATTGCAGTATGCAAACGAATACACAAAACTACTCATCCTTACCTTTCTTCAACTCATTTTCTGCGGCACTGCGAGTTATGTTTCCAAAATACCAATTAATAGATTCTCTTTGACTATTTCCATAGTTCATTATTCTGGTAGGTTGGCAAAATCCTTAGCTGCAATAAAAAAAAAATAGAAATAAAATACAAGACACATGACAAGGCTTGAAGATTGTTGTACATTCAATGATTTTCTTTCATCAACCAAGCAATCATGAAAAAAAATTGTATGTCATATATTCCCTCAACATTTTTGATAAATGCTTCTGCTACCCATTAATACAAAGGTCAGCACAAGCAACAGGTTACCAAGAGGATTACAGGAAACATTGACAGAAGGGGATGAAAATTAACATGTTTCGATGACAAACATGATATTACACGAAGAAAGTAGACTACCTTCAAAAACAAGTAACACAAAAGATGGATAATTTATTTGAAAGAAAGGGACAACAGGCGATTGCTTTGTTTGTCAACTGCAATGATCACCACAATAACCTAACGTACTATTGGTCTGGCCAATATTGTTTACTAGAAAAGTTGTGATAAGATTTCATGCTTTAAAAAGTCAACATTTTACTTACACACAGGTATCAGTAACCTGTGGGATGATGTGTTCAACGAAGTGGGCAACAAATCAGAGAAAATCATGAAAATGCAACCCAAACACTAGAATCAGTGCTACTCACTTGCCGTCTTCTGCGTATTTGCACAGGGTAACCAACAACCAACATGAAATGGACGTCAAAAATTTAAAGCTCTAAATTTGTTGCCAGTATTCTATAGCCGAACATAGTTGGTCTCAAAAATATCTCCGTATTTTTGTGCAGACAAAACTCATTTCAGCGAAAATAAAATGGGTTGAATGTGTCTTGGTCACGTTGACAGATAGGAATGTGCTGTAATTGATGCATTGTGGGATAGCGACGTTGCCGTTCCGTGCCGGGCAGTGCTTTGGAGGTCACAACGCATCGCAACCCCCACCACGGCGACCAGCACGAAACGGCAACGAGGCAGTCCGTGGAATCTGCGAAGACAAAGGCGCGCGTAGTGTTTGAAGCGAGCGGCGATGTGTGTGTGAGGAGACGACTGTGCAGAAAGACCCTTGCTCGGGCGCCTGGTGGTAGACAGCAACAAGACGGTTCTACGCGTCTATGTATGCAGGAATGGGATGCCATTTCACTGACATAACGAGTTGTTATTAAAAATTACGATTTTATTACTAAAAATAAAAGATGTAAGCTGTAGAACATTGAAGATGACATAATCGTTTTTCGACTCACAGAAACACAACATAGCTCTAAGAGTTTTGCACACAAAATCTAGAGTGTCACAATTCTACAAGAACTTGAGGCCATGGAGCCAGGCTTTTGTGCTGAGAAGGCTCGCTAGGGTTTCCACTCCACTTTAATTGCTTCATATTTGTTTCGACTCTTACTGGCTAAGTTCTACATTGGTCGAATCTGGTTAACTGAGTAGCGATTTCTTTTTTAATCAGCTCTTAACAAGTCATCAAAGAATCTAAGGAACGAAATGTTGCCAAATCTGAACAGGTCACAGCCCTGGTAATATAATCAATTTGATTTTGCAGCACAGACATAGAACTCTAGAAGACGTCTAATGCATTAGCTTCCAAGCATCCATGTAAAAGAAACAAAAAACAAATTAATGCTGCTCTGTTTACATGAAAGAGCAACTCAGATTTTGTTTTTACTTCTTTAACTGTAAAAGGAACTGTTAATTGTCTCTGTTTATGTTTGTTTTTTGTTTATAAAATTCTGCCAGTATATTTAGTTTTGATGCAGAATTCAAGAATTTGATTTTCTCCTAGGAATCCTACTTACATTATTTACAATTAGATGTCCAAAAATAGGGATACATCCATTTGGTTCAGGATACAGGTACAATGGATTGGCAGGTAGATAAATAACGCATAGTGCTTTTAAATTTGATGATGGATGCATAGTTCGATTCATGACACAGTGTCTACATAGCTCTAACAAGAGAGTGGCATTACACCTCTATGTTACAATAATTTTAACATGACCATTCCTCAGGAATAGTTAGTACTAACAACATTCTTTTCTGAAGCCCCATGCAGTTTTATCCCCTTGTTGTGCCAATAATGATATGCTCGCTGGCACTTTCTGCTTAGAATAAGGCTTTCTAAAAGTCTGTCATCCTATGCGTATGAGCGTTTTAGGATGCAATGATCCCTATTGACTAGAAGTTTGCACCTTCCTCATTGTGTGATACAGTCACACCTAACATATTTTCATATTTTCTTTTCAATATAATTTTGAATATTAATCGAGGTATGTGACAATACATCAATTACTAAGTACATAGGTAGCTTTCTATTTAAGATATAGGAGGCCATTTTTTATAAGTCAACCAGGAAGCAAAATCAAGGATATGTGGGCACCTTTGCTGAACTATTGAGCGTGATAATCAAATGGCGGTTTGAGTTGAAGCCCATGTTGCATATTTTCATGTCAGTCACACTTCCAACTGGACTTCTTGAGAAACACCGTTTCCTTTACGTATTCAAGTCCTAGCGATGCTCTTCTTATTGTCTTATTGAAAATAACTACACGCGTAAGAGTCATCTATTCGAATCCATTCATTTTGCATATTGTTCGGATCTCGCCACTCAGTCCAGAGCTGGTGGGGCTGTTGGGAGGGCATACTAGTTGGCTTAAAATCGGAAACGGAATAACAGTTGATTCGTTGGCATTTGAAGGCAATGGCTTGCGCGGGGCTTGGGAGTGACAGACTGCTCCTCTCCACTCTCCAGCTAAGCTGTGCTCCCTGTGGACTTATTCCGAGAGACTTTCCGTCGCTCTGTCTCTCTCGCACCTATACAGGATGGTCTATGAGTGCGACAGAGACAGGGCGACGAAAGCGACTCTCGGAATCCGTGCCGCCAGTGCTACACAGCTGCACGGCCGAGTCGACGTTCACTGAAACAGTGTCTCGTCCGCCTCACGGCTTTGTCGCTGCCGGGCTTGGGGTGCTGCGGCGGTGCGGTCTTCAGTCCGAAGCCGCCGACATCGCACAAGTCACTTCACTTCACTCCCGGAGCGGCACCTGGCTAGGCGGAGAGAGGCACAGTCGCCTTCGCGGACTCCGACTCCAGTGTCGTGGCCAGAATGGTCCAGAGACACCGTGCCGACGCCAGCGACAGCAGCCAGCGCACAGCATTGGTCAGCGCGGGGAAGTCCCTCGGCGGGGAAGTCCCACGGTGGGGGAGTCCCACGGTGGGGAAGTCCCACGGTGGGGAAGTCCCACGGTGGGGAAGTCCCACGGTGGGGAAGTCCCACGGTGGGGAAGTCCCACGGTGGGGAAGTCCCACGGTGGGGAAGTCCCGCGGTGGGGAAGTCCCGCGGCGGGCAGTAACCGGCAGGACGGCCCGCGAGGCCGCAACACGCGGCCGAGGGCTTAGAAGATGTCCTCGAGCTGCGAGAAGTTGCGGTCCCAGTAGCCTCCCTGATACAGCCAGTCTTCCTGGTTCGTGTGAGGGTTGGTGCCCAAAGCGAACCACCTGTAGGGGCATCACGGTGAAAAGGCGTTGGAAAACAATAAAAACCAGAAACGGAGGGTTCGTTTTGTTTTGGGGTGTTTGCAAAGGCTTTCCGACCTGGGTTTCCACTTCTCCTCCTTCTTGGAGCTCTTGTCCTTGCGCGCCTTGCGGCCGCGCTGCTTCTCCTCCAGGCGGGTCTTCTCCGTGGCCGCGCCGTCCACGTCCCCCTCCTCCAGCTTGCGGATGTCGGGCCGCAGTCTGCAGGGCGGCAGCGCGGCAAAGTCAAACAAGCCACAACGTTAAAGTTGCCGCATTCATTCATTCATTCCCTCATTAAGGAGAATGAGAATGAAAAGTAAACGGTTTTTTCTCCTCACCTGCTATCAGTGGGGCAAAGTTTGGCCCTCATGTCGTCGTCCATCTCATTTAGGGCCATGGCGAAACGCGTGAAATTGTAGTACTGAATAAAAGAAAAATTCTCATTAAAATGCAGAGCAGGCTTTATTTGGCGAGCGCGGCTCTTTCTTGGCCCCGCTTCGCCCCCTGCAGCCTCCGCACAGTGGGCCAGAAGACCGGTGGAGGCGGCCAAAACTGACGCGTTTAGAGCTCCAGAGTTGCTAAATGGGACTCGAAGTGGACGTGTGACCCCACCAATGGATTCCTTCGTTCGGAGAGCAATCTATTGGTGGGGGCAAACGCTCGGTTCGAGTCCCATTTAGCGAATCTGGGGCTCAAAACGCGTCTAGAATGTTGGCCGCCGCCACCGGTCTTCTGGCCCACTGTGCTCCGGTTCCCCCAGGGTTCCCCTCTGACTCACGTCGGTGCTGTTCTCCGGCCGCTGGTCCGCCTCCCACAGCGTCACGGAGTTGGGGATGTCGATGGAGAAGGTCGAGTCGCTGGCCGGGATGTCTCCCTCCGGGGGTTCCTCGGGGCCGTCATCCGTCTGAGGGAAAGAAACAGGGACCGTCATTTCAGTCGGTTTCGGGCGTTAAAAAGGGTGAATTAAATAAAACAGGTGGAACTTACGTCAGTGCTGACGCTGGCCCTGAAGGGACTGACTTTGAGCGAGTTGAGCTTGGCCAGGACTCTCCTGGGGGTGTGGGCGGGGCTGTTGTCACTCTTGTCCGATTTGCTCTTTTTGTCGTCGCTCCTGCAAACAGTGGAACGCCAAGACAAATGAGAGGAGGATGGGCGAATCCTCGCGGGGCCGTCGCCAAGGCCGTGGCCAGCGCCTCACCTGAATTTGTGAGCGTTCTCCTTCAAGTAGTCCTCGTACGACTGGGGGTCGGTCACTCGGAAAATCTCCGTCCACTTGCCGTACATGAATTTGATTTTCTTTTTGCTGCAAGGAAACGGTGGATAAGTCAGCATTCCAAGTATATCTCTGCACTAACCGCGTCGCCTGGCGCGATACTCACTCCTTGTCGACGATGAAGCCCTCCACGCGGTGGAGGTCCTTGGAGAACCAGCTGGCCGACTTGAACTCCAGGATGGCGCGGTGGCCTGGGGGCAGGCGGGCGGACCGTTATCGCTCACTCACTACAAGGACGCACTCGGCTCGCAGTGCAAACAGTGGACTGGATGACTCACCCGTGCTGTGGTTCACGACCTCCATGGTGCCGTACTGCTCGATCCAGAGCTTGCCGACGATGATGTTGTGCACGCAGCACGAGACGTTGTTCCAGGTGTAGGCCTCCTTCCACCTGGCAAAACAAACACGGCCGAAAGCACACTATAAAACACTTGCCAGACAAAGAAACACTCGTGGAGACGCGCCGCCTGACAGGCCTGACGTGGTGGTTCGAGGCGGGGAAGGGAAGGCCAACTTTCACCGCCGGCAGGGCGGTACTCACTTTGGCAGTTCGACGGTGACGGTGCCCTTGGGCTGGATCTCGACGCTCTTCCCCCAGAACTTGAGCTTGGGGTGGATGGAGCCGTGGAAGACAAAGTTTTCGCTGTCGGCGTGGAAGGCCGACACCGGAGGGTGGTGGCTCACTTGCTCGCAAATGATCCTGCGGGCACACAACAACAGGGCAAGTCAGTGGCGCCAAACAAAACGCAAAATCCAAAACGCAGAGTCGCCCAATGCCTCTGTCTGTCTGTCTGTCTGTCTGTCTGTCTGTCTGTCTGTCTGTCTGTCTGTCTGTCTGTCTGTCTGTCTGTCTGTCTGTCTGACTCTGACGCTCTCTCCCTCCGCTGAGCGCCGCCCCTATGCCCCTGCCAGTGACCGTGGGGCTGTGGGGGCCTCGGTGGGGGCCGTGGGGCCTAATCCGTCCCAGCGCAGAGTGGTCGACCAGAGAATGCCTTTTGTATGAGCTATCGGCAGACTGGCACAAACAGCCCCCTCCAGTCTGGCCCGGCTGGGCCCGGCCTCGGCTATTCATGCTGCCCTGCGGCCCTGCGCCCTGCGCTGCCGCCCGCACTCCTACACTGCAGACGTTCCCTGCCTCGGCCGGTCACGAGTCCCATACACAGCGACCGAAATCGAGGGAGCCCACGTTACTTGAAAGTCACGACTCTTTATTGTTTACACGCGTCCAGGCTTTCTTGAGCGGGTCTTGTTCCCCTGTGGTGCTCTTGAAGGCCGCCATCTCCGACGTCCTCGCCGACGCCAAGCCAACAGCAGTGCCCCCGAGTCCGCGCCCTTCGAGAACACGAACACACGAAGCCACTCGGCAAACAACCTCCGCACTCGCTACTCTTCATATTGAATCTGCGCGCCCTTTATCAACACGGTTTCCCTCTCTGGTCGGCTCTCGACAGACCCCCCCCCCCCTCTCCTCTCTCCTTGGCCCCGGTGCGTCTCGCCTCGCAGTGGCAGTGGCAGCCAGGCGAGCGAGCGCCTGCGAACCGTGGCGTAGGCAACGTGCTCCACACGAGTGCGCTACTTGGCTCTGGCGGCCTACCTCGCCGGCGCTCCGCCCGCCCGCCGCCGCGCCGGGCTGATTCCGAGCGCTGCTCTCGTCGCTCTGTCTCTCTCGCACTCATGGGGCCTCCCGTAAGGGTGCGAGAGAGACAGCGACGAAAGCAGCGCTCGGAATCAGTCTGCAGCCGCGAGCCGCCACCTGTTCTGTTCGCGGAGCAGCTGCTCCACTTGGCTCGCCGTTCTCGGCACTCTTCCTGCCCGTCCTTCCCTCTTCCTATCCACCCTCTCTCTCTCTCTCTCTCTCCTCTCTCTCTCTCCCCCTCTCTCTCTCCCCCCCCCCCCGTTTTCCAGGCTGCTGGACTAATCGGCCCGCCGAGAGGCGCCGTGAGAGGAATGGAAATGAATCTTAAGAAAGAAGCGAGGAGGACGACGCGGCGTGACGCGGGCGAGATGATGAGAGGCAGAGGCAGCGCCTCGACACGACGGGGAACGCAATTAAAACTACTTCATCAAAGGGATGGGCCGCCAAAGTGGGGCACGGCGTGTGTGTGTGTGTGCACCTGCGCCTGCTGGTACTCACCTGAACTCGGGGCGCTCCAGCTCGAACGTCTCGCCCAGGAGCGGGTTGAAGGGTTTGCCCGGGCGCTCCCAGTTGGAGCCCAGGGCGCTGACGGCGAAGGCGGCCACGTACTGCGGGCCGCAACAACACACAACACACGTTACACGTCCGTTCACGCTTCATCCAGCGGGGGAAATGGCCAAACTTTTCATCGCGTCCCCCCGAGGCACAGTGGGCCAGACGACCGCTGGAGGCGGCAAAAATTCTAGACGCGTTTTGAGCTCCAGAGTGGCTAAACTTGAACTTGGACTTGGCTAAATTGGACTTGAACCGAGCGTGTGACCCCACCAATGAATTCCTCGTCGGAGAGCAATCAATTTATGGGGCCACACGTTCGGTTCGAGTCCTGTTCAGTGACTCTGGAGCTCAAAACGCGTCTAGAATTTTTGCCGCCTCCACCGGTCTTCTGGCCCACTGTGGGGAGGTTGCGAAAAGCGTTATGCGATTTTGATTGCCGGCGGGGCCATCAGCGCCCTAATTGCTGTCCCACCATTAAGTGCCGCGGGTTGGGAGGGGACGGCCATCAGGCGGCCATCGGCCGGGCCATCGCCGGGCCACCGGCAACCAGTGTCACAGGCAGCGCTCCGCCGCGCCAACACGAAAATAAACTCGCCAAACATCTTGACAAAAAAAAAGCGCCGGGTGTTGAACCCGCGGTCTCACCTGCATCCGCGCGATGGGGTCATCCTGCTCCGAGGCCAGGCGAAGCAGGTGGGCGTACTCCATGTACTCCGTCATGCGCTGCAGGAAGGACAGCGGCTCGTTGAAACCGACCGGCATGGTGATTTTGCTCAGCTCCTTGCCGATGGCATTCTTCAAAATGGACCACAGGGAGATGTCCCCGGTAGGGATCTGGGCGGCGGGCAAACGAGTTCTGCAACAGCCATTTCAATCGTGGTACAAGCAGCGCATAAAAGGCAGGACGGCTGCAAGTTTGCTTTCAGGAAGGCGGGGCGTTTTGCTCGACGCGCACCGCGGCGAGAGAAGTTTGCTCCCAGCGCCTGGAGCAGCGGTGAGCGGGCGGGGGTGGAGGTTGCAGCGTCGCGAGGCGGGATTGGATGGCGGCTGGAGCCACGAGGGGGTTGGGGCTCCTGGCTGGGGCTGGCTGGGGGCTGGCTGGGGGCTGGCTGGGGGCTGGCTGGGGGCTGGCTGGGGGCTGGCTGGGGGCTGGCTGGGGGCTGGCTGGGGGCTGGCTGGGGGCTGGCTGGGGGCTGGCTGGGGGCTGGCTGGGGGCTGGCTGGGGGCTGGCTGGGGGGGCTGGGGCTGGCTGGGGCTGGCTGGGGGCTGGCTGGAGACTGGCTGGGTGGAAGCTGTGTATCGCGCCGCTGGAGGGCAAGGCCCGGATTTGCCCCGGTGGCGCATCAGCCTCATCGAAATGAGGGCGCCGCCGGCGTGCCAGCCTGACGGCTCCAGGGTCCGAGAAGGCCAAGCAGGCCAAGAAGGGGCGACGTGAGGCGGAAAGCTAAACCTGGCTCGAGGGAAGGAGTCTTTGAGTGGATTGACACATGGCTGCGGAGCGTGGAAAAGGAAAAGAAAAAAGGATCGGGGATGGGGGTGATGAAATGGTCGTTGCTTCTTCCAAGCCATTGCCAGCTTGCCAGCCTCCAGCATGCAGAGGCACGCGCGCACGAGAGCCCCAGCGCCGCCTCCTTCTTGGCGATACCTCCATATGCCGCGGCGGCACTGCCAGCGGGCTATTTCAATGCTATTTCCTTTCGGGAGATTCGCCTGTTTGCATGTACCCGATGTGCCCCTGCCTTCTCTCCCCTCGCGCGTTCTCGTATTCCCATATTCCCCACGCACCTCGCCGCCACTCCCCCTCCCCACGCGGTGCATGCGCCGTGGCCGTGTGCAGCGGAGAAGAAATTTGCATCGAAACTTCGCCAGCCAGGAACAGCATTCAGATTCGGATTCGCAGCGACGGGGGAGGCGCCGCCGCCGAATATGAAAGTAGCGCCAACGCCGCGCCGCGCCGCGCCCGGCTGCTAAGCCCTTGAAAGTTGACGAACGGTTATTACGACATGATGGCGGCATCCTTGATGGCGAGGCGGTTTGGGGCGAGATCAAGCGGAGGGAGGGGTAATAGTCTACCAAGGCACGACCAGACAAACACAATCTATAAATTGATTGAAATTGGTCCGCGCCTTCGGCTAGGCGCGGCACGGCGCGGCCCGCGTGGGGACTCCGGACGCAATTTCCGGTATCAGCTGTGCTGTGGAGCAGGCGGCGCCAGAAAGCCTACCCGCGCCTGCGCCGGGCCCTGTGCCTGAAACGCGGCTTCCTACCCAGCGCCCTGCGGCCGCGGGGCGGCGGCGGGTGGTGCGGGCGTCGCTGGTGCGGCGGGCGGGGGGTGGCAGCGGGGCGGCGCGGGCGGGCTCCGGCCAGCGCCACCTGCAGGGCCACGGCGCGGGGCGGGGCGGGGCGGGGCGGCCTGGCCGTCACCATCATCCTGCAATCTGCAGCAATCGGCGCGACGTCCATCTCTCAATAAGCCGCCACTTCCCGGAGAGGCGCGACGGCGACGGCAGCCTCGGCGGAGAAGATGGGATTTTGAACGGCGCGGCGGAGCGGAGGCGGAGCCTCAGAAGAGGGTCTTCTAGAAGGAAGCTCCGACCAGCCCGCCGCGGTGCCGGGGCCGCGGTGCCGGGCCCCCTGTCTTCGTCTCGCCCACTGCGATTACTTACGGTGCCTCGGGGAATGCTAATTACGCCGGCTGTCCCAGGGCGCCTGTCCACGGAGCGCCATCGGCCGCGCCATCGGCCGCGACAAAGGGGCACCGGGAAGCTGCCGGGAAGCACCTCTCCCATTCCGGCACGGAAAGTGGACCATTTTCAATTACGACCATCAATTACGCCATGCCAGAGAAGGTTGTGAACCGCTCCGCTGTCCAGGAGGTGCTTCCAGTCACGCGCGCGTGTGTGTGTGAGTGTGTGTGTGGGGGGGGGGGGGCTGTCTCGCGCTGCGAACAATGCCACCGCGACAGCGATAAAGTTATCGGCGGGCCGCTGGCCGCTATCTTTACGCTCCGCTTTTACGCCATCCTATCACGGCCTCACGGCCTCGCGGCCTCGCGGCCCTGGTGACGCGACCGCCCCTCCGCCCCTCCGCCCCTCGCTCGGCGCGGCGGCGGTGTGACGAGAGGCAGGGCGGCGGCCTGTGGGGCGGCATGAGGCAGCCCTGGCCCTGGGCAACGCCCCGCCCTTGAAGGGCCGCTGGAGGGGCCGAGGGCGCCGACGAGGACGGCCAAAGGGCACCGCAGGTCACTCCTTCCCCGATTGTGCGGCCTTCGGTTCGGGCTTCGAGCCTGTGGTGGAATTCCACACGCCCGGCGTCGCGCCGTGCCGCCGTGCCCTTCAGCCTCCAGGTGCGAACCCTCCCCTTCACTGTCAGACGGTCACCCCAACCAACCAGCTGAGCCAGCACCTCGGTCACCCCGAGTCGAACGGCCCAATCTGCGCGCCCCGCCCCGCTCGGCGTCCGGCCCCAGATGGCCGTACAGATGACGTGGCCGTCGAGCGGTGCCATCTGTCCACCGCCACGGCGGCGGCGCTGTCGCCCGAGTAATCCTTCTTCCAGGAAACGAAGCTGGCGTCGGCAGCCGCGCCGGCCCTCCACTAGAACCCTGGAACCGGAATGCAAATAGCCAGTCCTGGGGGTCTCGTCCCGCAGGATGTCCTGGAGGGCAGCCTGGCGTGGGCGTTGGCGAACCTCTGGGACCGCCGCCCGCCGCCCCGCCCACGCCGAGTCCAGCTGCCCGAATCACCGCACCGCCACCGCAGGGACCACAGGGGCCGCCCGACCCCAGCAGACTGATTCCGAGGGTCGTTGTCTTCGGCGCTCGGCCTCTCTCGCACCCATCCGGGACGCCCCATGAGTGCGAGAGAGACCGAGCGACGAAAACGACTCTCAGTCTGCAGCCTCGTGGAGGGCTGGCTAGTCCTCGGTGGCCCTTGGGACTGGGCTGGGCGGCTGGGCGGCTGGACTCGGCCTGCCCTCGCCCTGCGCTCTTCACGCCACACACAGCTAGACAGCCGGACAGTCGGACGACCGGCCCCACCGGAACGGCGGGACGGCGGGACGGGGCGAGCGACACGCAGGCCAAGGCCGCCAAGGCCGCCAAGGCTGCAGCCGCGAGCCGGGGAGTCGAGCCTCGGGGGCACAGTGGGCCAGAAGACCGGTGGAGGCGGCCAAAACTCTACACGCGTTTTGAGCCCCTGAGTCGCAAAAAAGGACTCGAACCGAACGTGTGACCCCACCAATGGATTGCTCTCCGGACGAGGAATCCATTGGTGGGGTCACACGTTCGGTTCGAGTCCCATTTAGCGACTCCGGAGGTAAAAACGCGTCTAGAGTCTCGGCCGCCTCCTGGCCCACCGTGGGGGTCGCCGCCGTCGCCGCCTGCCAAGTCCAGGGTAGGCAGTCCCGCTCGCCACGGGTGCGGCGCTGCGTTCGCGTTGCCTACCCTCGACTCCACAGGCGGCAGCGCGGCCGGCGGAGCGAGAAAGAAAGAGAAAGACAAAGGGCTTAGTCGCTCCCACCCCCACCCCGCACTGGGCCGCGCTGGGCCGCGCTGGCCGTGTCCTTGAGTGCCACCACACCGTTCGGAAGGGCGAGGTGAGGGGGAGGGGGCGGGGAAGGCAGAGGACAAGGGGAAAGGGGAGGGGAATGGTGGGGGTGAATATCCCCAGCCATTAAAGTCGCAGTGGTAGTGGTTGTTAAGACTTTGGCCTGTACAGTACACACGCTCGCGCAAACGAACCCCTCTCCCCGTGCAAGCAGGGACACAGACAAACGGACACAGACAGACAGACACACGACACAAAACACAAGCACATGACCTTGGCTCCAAAACCAACAAAGACCAACAGGACCGATATAAGTGCACGACAATTACCACAAGAACAAGGAAGAAGAAAAAACACTAAGCACTATGTGGTACACGAGGTATTATAATACGTTCTCCATTATGATTAAAACACTAAAATAACTTTAGTAACGCGCTGCTGACCTCAAAGCTGGGCTCCTTCACGTGCTAGTGGGTCTTGTTCGTTAACAAAGCAACAGCAGCAGCAGGGGGTTGACGTCAGAGAGTTACATCCAACCTGTTGACGACAAGCAGGCCGGGCAGGGCGAGCAGGGGAGGGCCTGGGAGACAAGGCCTGGGACAAGGCCTGGGGCCCGGGGGCAGTCCGTCATTGGGTTTGAGAGCAGCCACCCTTAAATGAGTTTGTTACTGTCGAGGTGGCGACGACGACGCCGCGCCGACGCGCAGCCAGATTGAGTCAAGGGAGAACAAGCGACGGGCCTTCGCCGTCGAGGCGTCGGGGCGGCGCGGGGCGGCGCGGCAAGTCGTCCGAAACATTCCGGACTTCCGGACAGAGAATAGAGAATCGCAGACAGTGCGGCAATGCCGGCTGCGCCCTCAGCGTCCTCCGTAGCGCCAACGGAAGGCGACTTGAGCCGCGCCGCGGAAAACTTGTCCCCGCCCGGTGTAAGCGGCTTTCTTTTCCCTCTCCCTCCCCCTTTTGTGTTTGTGTTCCGCTCCCTTTCTTGTCATGCAATCCTTTGGCCGAGTTTGCGCGAGCCCCGCGGGCATTGTGTCGTTCAATCAATGTGAGTGACTGAGCGAGCCTCCGAGGACTGGAAAGATGGACTCGGAGCCCTCGGCGTTTGCGGCATGCCCTGCAGGGAAAGGGAGCGCGTGGCGACAGTGTACTGTCAAGTCCACGCCAGGCCCGCTCGCCTTACACTTTGAGAAGCGTGACAGGCGGCCGATTGAACGGAGCGGGCTGCACGTCGAACGAGGCCCGCCGCGATCACCATGGCCTCGACCACCACGGCCTCGTCCGCCACGACCTCCACCACCACGACTACGACCACCACGGCCGCGACCTCCACGCCGTCAACCACCACGGCGTCGACCACCACGGCGTCGACCACCACGGCCTCCGCCACCTCGACCTCGACCACCAAGACCTCCGCCCCCGAGCTAGATCGATCAAGCGAATCAAAGAGAAGCAATCAAGAGCCCGACATTGGAGCGGCCTGGCCATGCGAGAGACCGCCCGCGCGGCCGACCCCGTTCCCGTGCATGATTAAAATTCGACACGAAATTAAACGTTGCGAAATCGATCAACGTTTTCCGACCTACTGGCAATTGGTTTGAACGACGATGTATGAACCCACGCCACGCCCCGAGCGGTGTACTCGTCCCGGGCCGTCTTTGTGGCGTCACGGCACGGCCGACCTCCGCCCCTTGCCGTGACTGTCCGGAATTTGAATTTAGTGGGGCGGCAGAACGACAATGACCGTGTAACTCCAGCCGGGGACCCAGACCCGGGCCTAGGCAGGCCCAGGCCCACACAGTGTAGGGATAATTAATTAAGAAGCCGGATGGAGCGCAGCAGAGCAGCAGCGCAGCCAGCCATGAGAAGCAATTTCGCGAAATACGGCCCAGCCCGGCCCAGCCCCCCACGCCGCACGTGCACGGGGAGGGGACCGCCCAGGATGAGGCCAGCCGTCGGGGTCTGCGGTGGTCCCGCCGCCCCCATGGCGCCCGCGGTCGGTTTAAGGTTTAGGGTTTGCGGCGAGCTGGGTGTCCGGACGTCGGAAACCGCACTGGTAGCACCACGCGGCCACGGACGGGGCCGGCAGAGCGATTCCACTCACTGCTGTCGTCGCGCTGTCTCTCTCGCACTCACGGGACGTCCCGTGTGAGAGAGACAGGGCAGCAGTGTGTGGAATCGCTCTGGGACTACCATCCCTCACGGCGTCGCTGCCAGTCCTGACAGTACGTCTCGGCACTCGAGAGGGAGGGAGAGAGAGGGAAGGAGATTTGGGATGGGTCGGCCGGTTGCACATTCCCAAGGTCAGAGTCTTGAGTAGTTATCGGGCAGGGGGAGGAGGGGGAGGCGGGTCAGGGGGTGGGGGCTCCGCGGCTTAGGTAAGAGGGGCGGGGTTGGAATTGGTCACGTAGTTTGCGCATGGGTCCCAAACTGAAGTTGCGAAAAGGAGAAGGGTGAAACACGTGCGCATCTCGATCGAGCGGATGGCCGTGCTGCGCAGCGGGTTTGAATCCCCGCCCAGCATTGCGTGCTTTTCGGAGTGGAGCCCGCCCTGGACACGCAGGGTGCGCCGCACTGCCCCGCCCCGCCCCGCCCCGCAACCCACCGCCCACGTACAAAAAGAAGCAAGCGGTCCCGGACGTCATCCGCAGGCCGCTCGCTCGGCATTCAGGAAGCTCCCTTTGAAATCGCCGCCCAGCGAGGCTTCGCGTTTCGCGCTGCACCCACACTGTTGCCAACTGAACCGCCGCGCGGCCTGAAGCCCCTAGAGCTTCCAGAGCAGCCACAAAAGGAATACGAGACTGGGTAATGCCACTATCATGCGACCCTTGATACACTCCGAACTCCTTGTCATGGGACTCACGTTGGCAGGCCTGGTCCGACTCACCTGTATTGACGCTGGGAGTTGGCAGCCATGCTGGCCGCCATGCCGATGGGCTGCAGGGGCTGCTAGGGCGCCTAGGGCTGGTGCCTCGCCCCTCCCTCCTCATGGGACAAGGGCAGTGCCCTAGTGCCCTTACAACAACAGCTGCAGCTGGAAGAGAGCAGACGCCGGAATGTAGTATGTACCGCCCCCGCGACGCCCGCGCGACGCCCCGCCCTCGGGATTTGCCATTCCCTGGATCCGGTTCAGGAATAAACTTCCGGCCCGCTGAGCGCTGGGAACACGGAACGCAGCGCCATCTGGCAGATTCCGGCCCAACTTCGTTCGAGATCTTGTTCGAGATCACGTTAGTCGAGCCCAATCGATAGCTCCCGGAACGCGCCCCCAACGCCTGGAACCGTAGTTATACAGTTCCAGAAGCGGATGCTGACGAGTCGGCGGCGGCGCCTGCACCGCTCAAACTAGTACGTCAAACTTCCAGAGACAATGCAGGCCTCGTTAACAATTTAGATTCACCCGGGAGCCTCGACGCGACGCGGGTCGGATGCCGAGACCCGGTTGGCCCGCTCGTATTTGAAGTTCCCGCTGCCGTTCCAAGTTTGGCTGGCTTGCGGAGCGTACCTGCGACTTGATTTGCTGATTTCACTCCCTTCATGCCGCAGATGGGCGAGGGAGCATGCATCTCGGGGCAGAACGACGGAAATGGATTTCATCCCCAACCCCTCCCAGATGACTCAACCTCACCATGATTTTCTCAAGAGTTTAAACGTTTATGCTTGAAAATGCTTTAATCTTAAACTCATACAACAAGAATCCACAGAGTTTCTGAACGTCTCAACTGAAGAATTTAATATTTAAGGAATAAGGTACCCTTGAAGCCCAAATATGTACAGCACTAGTGAATTTTAAATACACTGAGAATTTGTGTGATTAAGAACTAGTGGGCGTTAACTTATACTGTAACTTTTTTGATCACCTAGGGTGTTAATACTGAAACTGTAAGATTCTAAGACATCGAAAGCCACCACAAGCCAAATGAAGATCATGCACGTTGAGAGTTTAAATCATAGGCCCACCTTGTGAAGAAGCAACAGTTCACTTTTAAATTTAAAAGTCTTTCGTGATTTCCCTTCCTCTATTCCGTAAAGCGAACAAAGCGAGTGTATAATAGGCCTACTGTTTCCACAAATCCACAGGTGAAGTAAATCGCGCTGTCATCTCTACAAACTAGTAATCGTAAACAAATCCAAAAGGGGTAAAACAAATTTAGAAAAGATAAAAAAAAACTAAGCACGCCAAGTTACTATGATGTGAAACACTTGATCAAAATACTTACAAAAACCACTCCTAGAAGCACATGGTGAGCTTTCATGTACACTAAAATCTCTCGAGTCGACTCATCGACGTTTTCCGTTAGTCCCCCCTCCCGACACGGCCCTGGCAGAGGAGGCGGTGGCGGCCAGCATCGGACATGGCATAGGGTGGCCCAGAAGCCGCATAACTGTGACAGGTAAATCCATTTGCAAATCCAATTCGCCGTTCCTCCGCCAATGGAGACGGTCTAGCACCGAGCCCAGCGAGCCGAGCCAGCCGCGGCACTGCATGTAGGCCGGCAGCCCTGAGGGCAGCGGGCAGCCCCGCCGGAAACAAATCAAACAAGGAAGTCCCTTTGTTCGCCGTCAGAGGACGCCGCGCCGCGAGCAATGCCTTCGGCCTCCGCCCTTCGGGTCAGACAACTGTTGCCGCGGACACAATCCAACCGGCCACTTTTTGTTGCAACCATTTGCAACCGAGCCAGCTAGAGCATGGCAAGAGCATGGCCAGAGCCAGCCGGGGTCGGCAATAAAAGTCGTGGAAACAGAACGGGGGTCCCTCCGCCGCCCCGAGCCACAAGTGGTCGGGCCCCGCCCCGCCGCGCCCCGCCCCTCGGACTTGGCGGAGGCTGTTCGGGGTCGTGGAGCAAACACTTCATCTCCACGTCGGCGGCACGCGGACTGTGGCTCGTCGTGTACCGCAGCCTGCCCCGCGGCCGGCCAACAAGTCCGAGAGGGCGCCCTATATGTAGCGCGGTGGCCCCGGTGGCTGCCAGCTCGGCCTGCACGGCACGCCGCTGTTATTAACGATTTCCCATCGCAGTGTGCTGGCCAGCAACCCTTCCAGGCTCTCCGGCCCGGCTGCACACCCTAGCTCCACGTCCCGGGCTTTCCACCCGCCTGCCCGGCCTGCCGCCTGGAATCCAGAATAGCCGGGCTGTAATGGAATTCCAGGGCTGATCGGAGGTCTCTCTCTACACCGCAGGACAAGGCATTTCCCTTCCCCCCCCCCCCAATCCAGGTACAATCTGGGCAGTGCGGCATGCCCCGAGCTTCAGTCTGTCTCTGTCTTTCCAATAATTTTTTCCAACAAAGCAAGGGCCAAACAAAGAGCCTTAGCTCCGGCCGCAGATTCCAATCTGGGACTGGGAATGAGGAGGGAGAGAGACAGAGAGACAAGCAAAGTTATGGCTCGTTGGCTCCAGTTTAATCAAAAAGTTGCCTCCTAAATCGCTATTGTGGAAAAGGGGCGGGCCATTCGGCCGAGAGAAAGAGAGAGAGGGAGAGAGATAGAGCGCCCTCGAAACGGGGCAGACACGCGCAGGACGCGCCGCCGCGAGTCTCGACAATGACTTTGCTGAGCGGGCTGCTCTGTCTCTCTCGCACCAACGAGTCGCCCCACGAGTGCGAGAGAGACAGAGCGACGAAAGTACTGTTCGGAACCATCCCGCTGCGCGATATCGTCGGGTCGGGCCGGGCCGAGTGCCTTCTGGAAAAACAGTGCTATCGAGACCCGCGCGGCGGTGGTGAGCCGCCGCCATAGCCGCTAGCTAGGAACCAGTGGGCAGTGGGCCGACTATTCCGCGAGTTGGTTTCCACTTCGCCCTCGCTCACCGCCTTCACCGCCTTCACCGCCTTCACCGCCTTCACGGCCTCCACGATCCTGGCGTCGGCAGGCTGACGGCGTCGCGGCGCGTGCGGCGGTGTCAGGGCGTCGCCTCGGGCGTCGCAGTGCCAGAGGTTATTCCAACCCGGACAGTCCTGGTCGTCGCCGCCTCGCCGCCGCGTCGCGCTGAACTTGCAGTTAGCACGCGGCAGCCTCACACCACGCTGCGACCCCCCCCCCTCCCCGGCCAATCCAGGGGCATTAGGTCCCCCCTTCCTTCTCTGTGGCGTGGGGACAGCCGCGCAGCCGGAATATGGAAACAGGGGCCCAAAGTTGTCCCCGACCTCGTGAACTACTCGTGTTTGAAGCTTGTGCCGCGCGTTCAGGCGCAGTTCAGGTGGGCCAGGCCGGGGTCGGGTCCTGACAAATACAATTACCAGCGCCAGCGGCAAACTTGGAACTTGGAAGCGATCTGCGTTGCAACCGTGTTTCAATTATGCAGCAGAGTCGCTTCGGCTGGCTCAGGACCTCAGGACCAGCGGAGGGCAAAGGGGGTGCACACTGTTTTGGAAGGCCGGGCCTTGTAAAAGCGACTCGATAGACCTTGGGCGTTATTTTGTTTTCCGTTTCGGCAGCTTGGGACGTCGATGTCTGGAACAAACAACCGCCGTCTCTCCGCGCGCCTTGGTGTAGACAGTCCTTTGAACGTGCCGTGGCGGCCCCGTCCCTCTGTGCCTCTGTGCCAGCGGACCTTTGGCCGTGGCCCTGGTGCCCGAGGCCGAGGCCCAGCCCGTCCTACACTATCCCACACGGGCCGCACGATTGGGCCAGACTGATCCGGGTAAACCTCGTGTGTGCACAACATCAACCTAGCGCCCAGCCCCGCCAGCGCACGGTTCACGGCCGAGTGCGCCCCCCCCTCTTTCATTCCACTCCCCCTTCGCTGACAGCTTGCTCGGTTGAGCCCCACAAGGTTCCTCTAATCAGCGCCGGGATGCGTGCAAGAGAGACAGAGAGAGCCCCCAGAGGCCGTCTCTGTCCTCTTGCGTGCGCTTGACCAGTCTCCGCAAGAGTCTCCGCAGGACACTGTGGTGGACATGCAGGCAACTCGCGGCCAAAGGGGGTGACCTGTCCGCATCCACAGTCGCAGGCGGTCTTTCCAACTGTCCGCCCACTTGAGCTGACGCAGAAGGCTTGTAGCGCGCAGCGCTTCGTCGCTGTCTCTCTCCGGGACGAGGACAGAGCGCGAAGCTGCGGTGTCCGTCCGCGTGGTCGTCCCGTCCCGCCCCATCCTCGCCGGCAGAAGTGCGAAGTGCGCTCTCGCCTTTTGTGTCGCGAACAAACGAGCCAACGAGGCCGCTTTCCATCAGAGTTGCGCCCTCAATAATTCCATTATTGTGTGCCGACGAGTTTCGTCTGTGTGAGTGTGTGTGTGCGTGTATGTGTGTGTGTGTGTGTGTGTGTGTGTGTGTGTGCCGTTCGTGCCGTCCCATTGTTTGCGCGCCGCGACTGAATTTCTCATCCCTTCGCTGGCGCTTCCGCTTGCTTCCGCTGTTGTCCGGACAGTGCGCCAGAGCAGTGAAGCAGCGGAGCAGTGGACGAACAATTTCCGTCGTGATTAGGGAGTAGGGAGGCACTGCAGGCCGTTCTGGGCCGTCGCGCCCCCTCCCCCCTTTTTCCCTACCCCCGCCCCCGCCCGCCCGGGGCGCGGCCGCAGCACCGTGAAAATGACAGCCACTCGACCGGAGATTGGAAGCTCTGGCCGACAGCTCGCCTACACTAACCATTAACCGGATTAAGAGGCCGTCGTCAGTGCAATCCGGATCCGGCCCGGATCATCCCAGTCACCCCCGGCCCCACCCCCCACCGCCTGGCCTCATTACCTGTTCAACGCCGTTTCAGTTGGCGAAAATAATCCACGCGGCCCGACTGGCGGAAGGTAAGCCTCTTTCCGGTCCGTTCGGGTGCCGTTCCCTCTCTGTCTCTCTCTTTCATTGGGGTGTTCTACGCTGGGGCCGCGATAGCCGCTGCAAAGCGCGCTGCGCTGTTTGACAGAGACAGAGGTAGAGAAAAGCGCGATGTTTGACGGAGATAGAGATAGAAAAAGGCGGCGGCGTGCCTGTAGACTGATTCCGCGAGTGGCTTTCGTCGCTGTCTGTCTCGCACCTGTACGGGACGCCCCCTGAGTGCGAGAGAGACAGAGCCACGAATCTCTCGGAACGAGTCTGGTGGCGGAACGCGGACGCGGTGGCTTGCAACTGGAGGACGTGGAGGGCGCCACTCTCCCCGAGGCTGGAGCCTCCATGGAGGGCCGAGATTGCTTCACTGGCGTCGCATTAAAGCGTTACAGCTTGCATGCCTCACAGGCCTTTGAACCTTCGGTCTCGGGGAGGGGGCGAGGGCGAGGGCGAGGGCGAAGGGCGAGGGCGAAGGGCGAGGGCGAAGGGCGAGGGCGAAGGGCGAGGGCGAAGGGCGAGGGCGAAGGGCGAGGGCCGAAGGGCAGGAAGGGCGAAACGGACGAGGCCTCAGACGCGCTGATTGCAGTTCCTGCTGCTGCAGAGGACCGATTCCGAACCCTCACGGACCGCCACGGGCCACTCCGTCAGCGAGAGAGAGCGAGAGAGAGCGCTCCAGGAAGGGGCGTGCTGATTAATTCCCCGCACGGGGAGGCGGGCATGCCGACGGCCGAGGCCGAGCCGACGGCCCATAAAAGTTTCACCGAGTGCCGCGGCGCCGCGGCCACTGGCCACGCGCCGGCCACCATCTTTTCGGGAATGGGACCCTGGCCGGCGGGGCGCGGCGGGGCGGGGAGCGGGGGCGGCATCAGCTGGGAGGCGGGGTGCATGCATTATGCAGTGACTGTCTGGGGGCGGGGCCGGCGGGGCTGCGGGGCGTGCCCTGGGCGTGCCGCATAGCGATTCAGCGCGCGGCGCGAGCTTCAAATCTCCCCATCAGGCATGCGGCCGTGCGCCGCCCCTCCTTCCGATGCACTGCACCGTGTATTCCGCCCCGCCAGGCCTTGCCGGCAGGCTGCTCCCGGACGGTGCTTTCGTCGCTCTGTCTCCCCCGCACTCATGCGGCGTCCCGTAGGCGAGTGTGTGTATGAGAGTGACACAGAGTGACAGCACTGGTTTGGAGTCAGCCCGACAGCCCCTGAATCCGCCATCCCCCGCGACTCCCCTTCTGCTCGCATCCCGCGGCGCGAACCCTATGTGATATGACAGCGCTGCGCGGCACGGCGGCGGTACGCGGTAGCCGCGGTCACAGCGTGGAGGGCTTCCGAGCAGTGGACCCGGGTTCGACACGACCATCACCAGCGGGTGCTTCCGATCTTTTTCTTGGAAACAGGTTGCGTCACATTGCACCACGGTGCGCGCCAACTCGAGCGGCGCCCCAAGCCCCAACGCTCCACCAGCGCCAACGGCGCCAACAAAAACAACAACTCGAAACTAAAAACCAAGAGGAACTAAACGAAGTAAACCCCGTCCGCTGTCACGCCATTCCGGTCGATAGGTCGGTCAAGACTTCCTCGGCGAGTCGTTGCTTTCCTTTCGGTTCTACGAAAAGTCAAAGACGCCGAGCGGTTGGTCCCCGAGAGGGAACAAACCAACATCAACGACGACGACAACCAAACAACAAAACCAAAAGTGCAGCCGAGCCTGCACTGCACGTCTGGCCAGCCGATTGGGGGACTTGTGCTCGCCGGGCAACGCTAGCTAGATGTCGCAGGTGGGGCGAGGGAGGGCCACGAAGGGGCTGGGGTTCCACAGTCGACCGTGTGGTGCTGCCTCGCTGCCCAGCGCGACCGAGTCGTCACGAAGCGGGCCTCGTTGTGCAGGTGCAGGGTGCAGGCCAGGGCGTAAGGGGAGGGGCAGCAGCCTGGGGACACACGGCGGCTCGCGCTCACACTGACAGATAGCCGCGGGGAAGAGAAACACAACCAAGCACACTACGGAAGCACAGCGGCGGCCGCCAGGGCAAGAGGACCGCGACGAGGACGACAACAAGGAAACCAAGAGCTGCTAGCTGAGCCGCCACTACAACTACCACCGCTACGGCGCTACGGTGCTACCGCCACACTGACAAGGACCAAGTGCACACTGCACAGACTGCACACTGCATGCAAGGTGTTGCCCATACCAGCTGGGGGTGGGCGGCGAGGCCGCGGGGCCGCGGGGCAGCGGCGCTGCAGGCAGCACTGCAGCACTGCAGGAGTCCAGCGAGACTAGCACTGGGTCGGCGGGTGGGCCTGGTGGCCAGATGAGCCAGGCAGGGCGGCCAGGGCCCGGTGCGCCGTGACGGCCGTTCGGGGAGCCTCAGTGAATGAGCTCGGACGGGACGACGTCGCGGACTAGAGGAAGCAGGCAGCCGCACGCAGCCGACACGATCCGCGCACTGGGCCAGCTCGCCAGCCCACCAGCTCGAGACTCGCCATTCGCCGCCCCCCTGTCCGCCACCCCCAGGCCGCCCCCGCCGCCCCCGCCCCGTCCCGCACCCACCGCCGGCAGCGCCCCTGGCGGCGCTCTGTCCTAACTCAATCGCGCGCCCCTCATGGTTCCCGGCCATTCTCGACACGCCCGCTACTGTTTCTGCCCCTCCGCCGCCCCCGCCCCGCCCCCGCCCCCGCACGGTGACCGCCTTGCTGCGGGTGGTCGGCGTGTTATGAATGCCCACCCTGTGAAGCTGAACGTCCAGCGCTGGCCTGGGGGCCTGGGGGCGGCGTGGCCTCTCCCAGCTCCAGGCCGTCCCGGCCGTCCAGACCGCAAGAGAGCACTTAGGCCTCGTTGTCGCCACGACGGCCACCGCGCTGCACTCGGCGTTAATGGGCGTGGGGGCGTCGTCGGCGTCGCCCCGGGCCGCTGGAATGAGAGCACCTCCCCGCCGTCCCGTCCCCACCCCGTCCACCTCGCCGCCAACGTCGCCAAATTGGCCGGCATTGCTGGCAACTCGAGCGCGGCATCTTGGACTCCAGAGGGCGGACACGCGGGCGCGCCACCGCGCCACGCACTTGCCGCGCTGTCGCGTCGCGGTGGAGGAGGCGAGAGGCTGCTAGAGGCGGCGGGCCTCGTTGGGGGAGCCCAGGAGGTGCCCGCTGGAGGCTCGGTAGGGATCGCCCGCCGCGCCATACAGGCCTTCCCTTCCCAGCCCTGCCGCCCCGCGGCGCGAGGGCGCAAGGCAGGGGAGGCAGTCGCGGAGCGAGGCGGCGAGGCTCTGGGGCGGAACGGGAACGGGGGGCACGGCTCCCCCCGCGAGCGCGGGGCCGGGCGGAGGGGGAGGGGGAGGGGCCGGAGAGGGGTGCACACCAAACGTCGATACTGCGCCCGACCACCGCTGCCGCTCTGGACCGGAGAGGCGGGGGAGGGGGAGGGCGGAAGCTGTCTCGTCACGGCGTCACGGCGTCACCGTGTCTTCTTGATGAACGGCATGATGGTGTGACACGGGTTGTTGGCTGACTTAGCGCCTCTTCAGGCCCCCATGCTTCTTATCCGAAACAGTGGCCCGTGGCACAGTAGACAATGGCCCATGCCACGCGGTTTGCACGTACCACCAGGTGCGCGGTGCGCCGCAGCCGAAAGCTGTGAGGACCCTTCACTACATGTCGCTGAACATGCACGGGGTTCGGAGGTTGAGGGCGGACAGGCGTCGGTCACCGAGGCTGAGGGACCACGGTCCGACACCCAATCCAATGTACCCTTTTTTGAGGCATAGTCTTTTGGCAATTTGTTTTCTCTTCCATTGATTGTATAACGCGTAGATAGAGTCCAAGACATTTGCTTTGGTTCAAGTGTGAAGATGTCAATTTAATTTTATGCCTCTTTAGGCAAACGAACCTAGTTCTTTTTTCTCTCCTTTTTCAAAATGGCAATCTTTCTCTTTTGTAATTATTTAGTTTCCACTCTTTCAGCTTGGATAGGAGTTATAGGGAAAATAAGATTAACACAGTTAAAACAGTTGGTTTCAAGTTTTTAGTACTTATGTACATTTATTTCTTGTTTTCTGTATTCAGACATATATAAAGCATTTTCACAAGTAAATACCAAATATGAAATTAATGAGGTGGCAATGGAAGTAATAAAAAAGATGGCATAGAAGGACTACCCATCTTCAATCAATAGGAATTCATTATCTGCTATCAACTGAGTATTCAACAGCAGAACAAAAATGGTATCTGGAAACAAGGGAACGAGAGTAACAAAAATTCCAGCTCACTTACACTACTACCACATCCATTGCAATTTGTCATCCCTTACGCAAGTAGACAAAGTTAATGCACATAACTTTCTCATTAAAAACAATCATAATAAATACAATGATCAGCATTAAGTTCTCTTTTTTACAAATAACACAGATGTTTTGACAATGTATGGGATGAGCTTTACAATAGTACAATATTTGCTTCATTTGGAAATAAACCCTAAAAGAAGTTGTACCACACTATCGATACTGTTACTCAGCCAGTAAACATATCTACTAATATCAATCAATGTCAGTACGCATCCCTGGTTTAGATGGACTCTCTGTACAAGTACAAACACACACACATATTCTCAATCTCTTCCACCCTCATCCACACATACATACACATGAGACCTGTCTCTCCCTCACATCACACATTCTGTTTGATTCATGGTAAGCAACTTTGTAAAATGTGACATGGTTCCATTAAAAGGCTTGTGGCAAAATTGTTTAGGGAATTGGTGTGTACAACCATCTGACCACGAAGGTAAAAAATAAACTACATGTCACTTTTGTTTCCGACAATCTTTATTTTAGCACAAATTTGAAAGTGGCAAGTTGATCTTTCAATTAAATATTTTTTACAAATCGTACGTCAACTGGAAATAAAAAAATTGACATGCAACTTCAGACTGGACTTTCAGTCAAGTTGATGGTTATATACAATCATGCATACAAAAAAACTTTACCAAGAAAGAGTCACAATATCAAGGCGCAACAATTCTGGTAAGTCACAACAGAGTTAAGACATTCACTATTACAAAGGGCAAGGCAGTATCTCACTAGTGCAAACACTGACTGACAGCCACCAACACATTAAGTATGGTTTAATTAAAATCACAAGACCACGTTAGTGGCACCTCTAAACAGACTGCACAATAAACCAGATAAAGATTCTATTCATTACGAGTTCATTATTTACATGCACCCCTGAATTCTGCTTTCAGCATCACAGGCTAGTGTTCTGTCCTAATCCAAGTCAAGTCTCTCACGGCCGTAACCGATCCCCGCTCCTATGACGGCGCCGTCGCGGCCACGGTGGTGTTGGCGGGCAGCGGGTGGGGCCTGGCGGGCCCGGGCGTCCTGGAGCACTGGAACAGCACGCTCGACACGACCGCCGCCACTTGCTGGTCCAGGATCTGGCTCATGACGAGGGCGAGCAGGCGCTGCTCCTGCTGCAGGAACAGCGGCCTGTTGTCGGGGTGCCTGGCCAGGTGCAGCAGCGTGCCCGCCGCTCTGCGCAGCATGTCCAGGCTGGTGCCCATGGCGTCGGGGTTGTCCCGCAGCGCCGAGATGCCGTGCTGGTTGGCGACGCCCAGCGCCACCTGCTCGGCCTGCTCGATGAAGGCCACGAGCTGCGACACGCAGGCGCCCTGCAGCGCCACGGTGCGCGCCATGCCCGAGTCGGCGGCGGCCAGGTAGTGCAGCAGGTTGACGGCGAACTCGCGCAGCACCTGCTCCTCGCTGCGGCACAGCAGCTTGGTCAGCACGGCGCAGAGCCGCTCCAGCCGCGAGTAGGGCGGCGTGGCGATCACCAGGTCCACGTTGGCCTCCATGACGCACAGCTTGCACAGCGCCTCCAGCGCCAGCCGCTGCGGCGACAGCGACGAGTTGGGCCCCACGGTGGGGAACGGGTCCTGGCCGTGGGCCGCGGGGCACACCGCCCAGTGCAGCAGGCCGTCCAGCAGCGGCCGCGACACCTCCTCCGGGTACTGGCCCAGGTCCACCTGCCCCGCGATGTTGGACATGGTCACCAGCACGTTCTCGCGCAGCTGGAACAGGAAGTCCCACCACCACTCGGCGTCACCCGAGAGGCTGCTGCAGCTGTCCGTGCAGTCCGCGTCCTCCTCGCGCTCGTAGTTGCGCTGCGTCCGGAGCGGGTGCTCGTGGTGGATGAGCATGAGCTTGCCCAGCAGGCCCAGGAACGTGGGGTTCTTGGCGAACTCCATCTCGTTGCCGGGGATGAAGGACAAGTTCCGCAGGATGTTGGACAGGCACACGCAGCGCCGCGCGATCGAGTCCTGCGTGTCCGTCACGAGGTACAGGCTGGCCTCGTCGCGGGTGTAGCACTCGTCCTCGTAGTCCGACATGCGCCGCCGCTTCACCACGCTCTCCGAGTCCCCTATCCTGATGTAGGGCCGCTCCTCCTCGACCGCCACTACCTCAGCAGCCGCTTTCGCGGGCGCAGTCTTCTCCGCTTCGTCCACGTCCATTGGCTCTAACTTCACTTCCGTTACTGGTACGCTGTTATCAGACTTATTCTCAGAATCACCACCGTCCGCTTTCGAAGATTCACTAACATGATTTTCTTCTATCACCAAATTTGAGTCCTTGGACAAGGCATTACTATTTTCACTCCTATTATTATTAGCTTTTCCTACTCCCAGATCTTCTCTCTTGACCTGGATACCCCCCTGTTCATTTACACTAGCACTGAGGTCCCTGCTCAACGCATCCTGCTTTGTGGCACTAAGCAACTCCTCCTTTTCTTTCTTAATTCTATTTAACACATCACTCAAGCTTTTTGTCCTTTTCTTTTTCTCACAGTTTTTCTTTTCAATTGTATTCTCACTAACACAGCCTTCAGTAATAGAAAGTTGCACTTCTTCTTTACATGCGGGAGCACTGTCTGAACAGTCACTTTCCTGAGGTTCAGTCTTAGGTGAAGGTGGCCGGCTTTGGCCTGTGCTAATCTTGTCAGGAATTAACCGTACAAAAGGTACAGCGTGGAATTCCGCTTGGAAACAGGGTACAATGTACTTGGTGGCAAGGGCTTCCGCAGCTGCTTCGCTTTCAACCATGGAATCTGAGGCCTCCCCTTCAACGTCCCAAGTCTTCTTTGTGTCCAAAATAAACACCTCACTGTCCCTGTTTACAATCCTGACAGGTTTACCCTTGCGTGTAACAAGAGTATAATTTGGCATTGTGCTCGATAAAATTTGCGTTTTATCGTTTGGATCTATGGGTTCCATTACACTACCAAGGTCAACATCTTGGTCTTTTATAGATGACTTTTCATACCATTTCCTGCAACAATCAGAAAGTCAGTCAAACAACAATTCATAACATAAATGTTTTTGATAAAAATTAGATAAATGATTCAGATGCGATACAAACCTATTAGCTATTACTCCAGTAGGTGATGATTCAAACATATCGTCTAAAGCTTTCCGGAAGTGTTCAAGAAGAACATCTAGTAAGCCAGGCATGTGTTGTAAGCCAAAATATGCTACAGACACATCATCAAATAGAAGTATATTTAATGTGTCCAGGGCCCAACAGCTTTCTGCTAACAACCCAGACCTTAGGCTCATCATGAGCCGCCATGCTTCCACAGGGCATACATCGGCTCTCATCAACCGCTTCCGTTTGTACAGGACTGGTGTTGTGGCCTCCACACTGTCCAGTGGGAATGCTGAATCTGACTTCATACGTCCCATTGTACCAGGTGATTGTGATGGTTGGGGCATCTGTAAGGAATTAATTAACTGCATCATTTATTTATCATCAACATTCAAGCTCCACAAGTACATTATCAGGGCAGCGTCTAACAAAATGTAAACACTAACCTTCATGCCAGGCGGAGGTCCTCCTGGCATAGCTGGCCTTGGTTTCCCGTCAGGCCTATACTGAGCATGAGGACCCAGTGGTGGCCGCAGAGGAGAACCCTGTCCTACACCTGAAGGAGGCATGTTGGGTCCCCAAGGCTGCTGTGACTGTAACAAGACGAGACACTTCATTAGCCTTCCTGCCAATGCAGATAAACAATCCAAATCAATAAAAATTTACAATTTAACTTACGTTCTGTGGGGGTTGGTAAGGTGATTGCGGCCATTGGCCAGAACTAGCCTGATTACTTGGAGGTGCTCCTGGCCGGGGTGGTTGATTCCATTGTTGTGAGTTGGGTTGGGTGCCTGCTTGAGGTGGGTACTGTCCTCTGTACTGTGTGTTGTTGGGCCATCCACCTGTCACACATACCATTCAATTAGATTTGATATGAAGGCTTAATAATAAGTTCTAATTAATTACAACGGCATCGACACATACCATACATAGCAGGTCTCTGCTGATTGAAGGGTTGATAAGGCTGCTGATCCTTGGCAAAGTCCGGATGCCTTCTGGGCTGCTGGTCAAAATTAATCCATTAAGAATCTGATGAAATGCCTCGCACAGAACAAGTGCAAGTGTACAAACAGTCAACGATCACTCATACCTGATCAGGTCTGTAGTAGTCGCCAGCTTGGCCAGGAGGCTGTGGTGTACCCGGACTGGAAGGGGGAGCAGGTGGATACCCAGGTCTAGGCTGATAGCCAGGAGGTTGGTACCGGTTGTAGGGGTCAGACCCTGGGGTTCCTGGAGGACCCCCTTGACCACTACTTGGGGATTGATTGTAAGGAGGCCTAAGCAATCAAATAAGGAACGAACACAATAGAAATTAGCATAAGGGTCAAGCAGTAGACATTTGAAAAGACAACCAGACAGCAAATAATTTTGGGCTTACCTGTCGCCCTCAGGGCCGAATGGTGGGTACATAGGTCGATTGCTTGGGAAATTGCCTCCAGGAGGATATTGTTGGTTGTATTCAGGGCCTCTGTTGTACTGCTCAGGATACTGGTAGCCTCCTTGACCCTGGTAACCTGCAACAACAAATACCCATCATGTTGAAATTTCCACTCAATTGTAGAGGAGGCAACCAAAATGAATGAAATAAATGAAGCTCTAAATTAAAAATTCCCAAAAACATTCATCATCAATTATATAAAAGTGGTTCACATGAAATAAACAGAAGTGAGTCTGCAGCTTTGTCACTACAACTAATGATTTAAGAAATGAACCACTTGTCATGGAAAGATACTATACTTCAACACTACAAAACATTTAGAATCCAATGCACTCCAGTTCCAAGCAGAGCATTCAATGAAAGTACTTCTTGAAACCATATATTAAAACTAGTTTGTCAATGACATGAAAGCAAGACAAATCAACTAGAGAATCGAAATAGATGTTTTGGGAACACAAGAGATTAATCACAGCAACTGCTAACTAAGAGACACACATGATAAAAGGCAAACAAAACAAACTGCACAGATAATCAAGTAGAAAATCTGTTATGTCAAACCATCTGAAAATGGAAATAATTGTTAAGAGTAAAAACAATAATAAAGGAATGCATCTCATGTTCCTGAGGTCAGGCTCATAAAAATCTCAGTGTTTTATTAAGGAATTATGAACTATACAGCTATACCTGAGAAAGAGACAACACACAGCATTTAAGCAACTATACCCCGAGGGAGCAAAACAGGTAATCCATGCAAGACTCACTGTCAGCAGGGCAGGCAACAAGCAAGCAGCAAGGCAGGCAGATGAAGGCAGGGGCAGTTTATTTACCTTGGGGCCCAGTGCGAGTGGGGCCTGAGGGTCCAAAAGGTTGTCCGTAAGAATTGGATCTCTGACCAGGGCCCTGACCAGGGGCCCCATCATCAAATGGATTGGAAACGCTAATGTTATCACCTGCACCATGGTTTGGCACACCCACACCTGAAGGAATCAAGCGTCTCTCTAAGCACTAGCCACTACAGCTTCTACTAGGGCCATTACATCGGGTAAACAAAGTCATCGTAATGATGTTGATGGTCCTAGTCAACTACCAATGTACATGAGTCTGAGTCACTTCTTGAGTAAATCTTAAATTGATCTACCACTACATGGGGGTATTTATCTTTGCTTTCAGATCGTTGCACATAACTTATCCTACACCAAACTTTTACAATGACAAGTGGGTTAAAATAATTTGGGGCTTGACTTGATACTGAAGAGCAAGAACAAATGTCAGTAAAAAATTATGTCAAATGGGAAAAGCCGACTCTCCATAAATTTAGGGCACCATCAGTAAGCTGTGAGCTGCAAGTTGCCTTTCCCCTAATAGCAAGCACGTTTCTCAAGCCAAAACAGAAAAAAGCCTGCGTGTTTTACATGAGACTGGCATGGAGCCACATGTGCACTGGAATATACTTTACGTACTTAATTAAAACCAGAAAAACCCTCATGAAGTTAAGCAGAAGAGAATACCATGACCCAACATAAAAATAAATTTAAGTGTGCAATGCCATATTGGAAAGAAAACAATGGAGATAAAAAAAAAGAAAAAAAAAAAGAAAGGGTTTGAGACCAAACATAAAAACAGGAGTTTTGAGAAGGGGACATGAAATGGGTAACTCAACCATGAATGCACATTATTATTTCTAGATTGCAAGGAAAACTTTTGTACTACACTTAGTAGAGAATATAAAACATCCCTAAGCTAAGAGGTTAAGGTTACACACAAATTTGTTTGATACTCCAAAGGTGGTGAGAGATAGGTTAATCCCATGATTTGCAGACATGCACAGGGGTTAAAAAGAAGCGGAAAGGATTAAGAAATGGAATGAAAGTTGGCCAAGTTTAAGAGACAAATGTATGAGGAATAAAGCATATTTCAGCTGTGAAGCAGGCAAAATAAAAATGATTTTATTGCACTGTCAAGGTGCAGAAGTAAAAAAAAAAAAACTTGATATTTACGGGCATGAATGCAGTGCACAGTAAGTGAACAGAAATATGCTTTAATCTCTCTACGTTCTCTTCCTTAGGTTTAGTATGGTGCCACAAACTTTTCATAGTATTAGTGAGCAGGCAGATTGAGTGATTTTCCTCTCTTAAAACAAAAAGAATGTGATACAGACTTTCACTTGGAGGAAAAACATACCTGGATGGGGGCTGGAAGCATTTGATTGTGAAGGTGGCCGCTGGGCATTATACTCAGGTCCTGCATTTGGCGGATAGCCATAGCTGCCGTATCCATCCATTGAAGTACTTCCAGAACCAGGTGGTGGAAATGAATCTTGAGAGTTAGATGAACCTAAAAAAAGAACAGAACAAAAACCAGGTCAACACCCTGCCACTTTGCAACTGCAACTCGACCAGGCAGCTGACATGCAAACTGTATGTACAGAGGCAAAAGCGTAAATTAAAGACTCACCAGGTGATGGCACTGGGGCGGTTTTGGCAGGCTTCTTCTTGGTCCCCGCTTCCACCTGGTTGATGATGGGCTGAGGGTCGATACCTCCCCGGTCGAAGTGGCATTCGTAAGGCAGCAAGTTCTTGGTGTAGTGTTTCCGTAACGTGTAGGCCGCACTCGATGAAGCGCCGATGCCCAGGAGACCCGCAATGTCCTTCCATGTCTTGTTTTTCGTGACCTGTCAGGACATAATACGCCAATGCTACAAATGGGACAAATAAAAAAAAAAACAGCAATAGTTGGGCTCACTATCAAACTTGACCAGCCCAAGAACTTGACATTCTTCAAGGGAACCTCTGCCAGAGCTTCCAAGGTAAATGACCTGAGGCAACAATTGCCATGACAGGTAAATAAATAATGATCGATGTGACCAAGTCATTGGACCACAACATTTTCCTCTCCTGCTTTGTGCATGAAGCAGCGAATCAAAATGGTATTAGTTTCCATTAAGCGCGTGACTGCAGCTTTAGTAAGTGCACTTTAAAATATTTGGCTCAGCAAATTCCAAATATGCTTTAGTTTAGAATTTTGAAAACTTTATATAGAAAATTGAATAGTAAAAAATTGTGTTGTACTCACCCAAATTGTAAGTGCAGTGTAATGTAATATAAAGGTAAAAATATTCTACTAAAAGATTAAGCTTACACTTTCAATGCAAGTTCTCAGCAGGCAACTTATCAATCATTCTAAATACAATGGAAAAGAACAAGCAAAAAGGAAAGAGAGCTAGAAGAAGTATCAAGCATGCACATAGATTTAACAAGCAAGCAAGATCTAATAGATATCAGGCAGTGACAAACTGGATGATATATAAGCACAATCCCCATAACTCAACATAGAGCCACCATTGCTGGCATGACAAATGTAATGGTGATCTTGGCAGAGGTCCTCATAAATTACTCATTTTAACTTTCAATTGGTCAGTTATTGACTCTTAAAACTATGTTAATTAAAGAGTGAAAAGTGTTAGGTTTCAAGTTTGAAAGATTGAGAGTAGTATTGACTACAGAAAGATAGTAAATAGTAAAAAAAATACACAGTGGCACTTCCATGTTCCATCCAACTGACCTCCCAGTTTAGTTTGTTGGAAGATACTCTGCTTTGATAGACTGGAAACTACGTAATGTTTTTGTTTATCATCTCAATAGAAAATACCAATAGATTACGTCACATGCGAAAACAGATGTTTTCCAAACAGGACAAAGTCAAAATACAAACACAAACAAAATACAAAACAGACAAATCAACGTCAAAGAGAAAACAACACAAAATCACACAGTCGAGACTCAAATTCAGAAAGATACTACTTTTACCAACATACTCTGAAACAATGCAATAGGGGAAAAAAAAACTAATCTAGAAGGCAGATTGGTGACATGGAACTACACTGCACCTTGCATACCTCCATGAAACCCCCTCTCTCCTTGACATAAAAATATAGTCTAAAGAGATCGAGGGGGTTCTTGGAGATTGTTGGACACGCCTGGATGGGAGATCCTCGTTCCTCCATGAACTGCAGCAGTTTGTCAAGCCACATCCAACGCTCTTTGGAGTCATCCATGTCGTAAAGTTTGCCCAAACTGTCTGGTTTCTGAAACAGATAAAATAGCTCAGTTAGAAGAAATGTCCCAATAGAGATGAGTATGAAGAGTGATAAACTACAATGGCTAGGACTGTGAACATTAATGAAAAGTGACGTTTATGGTACATGCAATGAATCATGTATATAAGGGGAAAAAAATAGTAACCTTTGATCTGTATGGATCGGGCCCACCAACATGACTGTTAAACACCTGCAAAACAAACACGAGACGTTATTGCACAGCAAGCATGATCAACAAACTCAAGGAAGTCAGAAGAAGCTTCCAGGTTGGAACACCACAATGCAGGGAAAGGAGCAGATATATGCAGGAGGCAAATGCATCATTGTCACATTTTCAAAAGAGGAAATGGAAGAAAAAAAGCTGATATCCCTTCACAACAAAATAAAAATGTTTCCAGTCAGCATGATTTTGAGAAGGAGAAGCCAGTAGGATTTTAGGAGGTCTTTGGATATTTCAGCAAGATTTCGTAACGGCTTCCAGGCCGAGAGGAGGCGTCTCTCCACGGTGTTCCACCCATGGACTCCAAGCTACTGCACTTACCGGGCTGGCAGGGGTTCGAGGCCAGTTGTTGGGTCCTCCCGGTGTTCCGGGCGCTCCGGGTCCAGCTCCAGGTCCTCCCGGGCCGCCCATCTCGTAGTCGTCGTGGAGGCTGTTCATGGCGCTGGGGCCGGGCGAGGGCACCGTCCCGGGCCCGCCGCCCACGGGGCTGGCCGCCGAGGCGGGGTGGTTGTGGTACAGGCCGAGCGGCCCGTCCTTCCGCGACTTGCTGCTGCTCGACTCCTCGCCGGACGCCGCCGACGCGTTGGACAGGGTGGACTGCTGCGACGCCTCGTCCATGGGCGCGCCGTCGGGGCCCGTCGTCACGACGCACGTCACGCCGCCCTGGCCCGCGCCTTGACTTGCCGTGGCGGGGCTCACGTTGGTCGTCGCCGTGCCGGCCGCCGTCGTCATGATGCCGTTGTCGTGCACCATCTCGCCGTCCGCCATGGAGTGCGGCGCGCTGGACATGGAGTGCGGCGCGTGCGAGTTAGGCGTGGACGCGGGCGGCGGCATGGGCCCTGCAGGGTGCCCCGGAGGGTGCCCCGGAGGGTGGCCGTGCCCCATGGGCGGGCCCTGCCCGTCGTGGTGAGGGTGGGGCCCATGGCTGTTCGACACAGGTGACGGCGCTCCCGGTGGAGGTGCGCCAGGCGGTGCACCCGGAGGCGGGCCGCCCGGGCCAGGACTCGACGAGCTCATGGGTGGCCCCATGGGCCCAGGGTGGTGGTGTCCTAGCGGTGGTCCCATCGGCGACCCGTGCTGAGGGCCAGAGCCTTGGGGACCGGGCGCTCCCGGGCCGCCCGGAGGACCACCAGGACCCGGCGCACCGGGACCGGCATAGCCTTGAGGGGACCCTGACCGGGACCTTGTGGACCTGGAGGGCCTGGAGGAGGGCCCGGCGGGCCCCCGGGTGGCCCTTGAGGAGGTCCTCCGGGAGGGCCTGGACTGGGGCTGGTGCCAAACCCCATCTTGTGCTGTAGGTGCTGCTTGAGGTAGTGCGGTCCGTGCGGCCCCGCGAGCGGCGGCCCGTGAGGGGACCCGTGGCCGTGGGGCGGCGTGTGCGGCCTGGGGCCGGGGTGCGGACTCATGCCGGGTGACGCCGCGGGCCCCGGGGGCTGGCTGGAAGGGCCTGGGGGGCCTGGCGGTCCAGGCGGCCCGGGAGGGCCTTGTGGCGGCGGCGTCTGCGGGGACGACGACGCGCTGCCCGGAGGACCACCCTGGGGACCGGGAGGCCCCGAGGGAGGCCCGTTGTTGGGGCTCTTGCCGGCGACGTGGTTGCCGGGGCCAGGGCCCGCCATCATGTTGGGGGGAGGGCCCTGGTTCATGCCCGGTCCGGGCGCGCCCCAACCCTGGTATCCAAACTGCGAGTGCGGCACGTGGTTGGGGATCGGCCTGCTGGGGTACGCGTTGCTCTGCGGCCCGCCAGCGCCCGGCCCGTAGTTCTGGTTCGGACTGTACTGCATGTTGCCCTGCGGCCGGGGACTGTAGCTGCCTCCTGGAACAAGAAAACGAGGCTGTTAGTTTCAAAAGCAACGCCAAGCCACACCAATGACGCCAAACTGGGTGCACAAACCTTGAGGGTACTGCTGGCCCTGCTGCGGCGAGTAGGGTGGCATTTGCTGCGAGCTGGGCGGCATGGCGGGCGGCATGCCGGGGTGCCCCATCTTGTACCCGTGTATGTGCGGCGGGGGCGCCAGGGGCTGCTGATATCCGCCTGCAGATGAAAACAAATCAATCAGGGTCCATCCCGCACTCTTTCAATAAGGCTGCCTTCGGCTCCACTGGAGAGAAGAGAACCTTCGGGGGTAAGTCGAGTCGAATCCAAGAAGTCTCTTACCTTGAGTGGCCATTGGTGACAAGCTCATGCGAGTGGGACCGCTACCATCTGATTGGACACTTGAGGGGCGTGGAGGCATTGGAATGTTCTGTTGGCCTGCAGACAGAAAACGAACACGGTCACGCCGGGAACGACGAAAACACAACACGGCGTAGCGGCCGACGAGGCGCGCGTCGCGCATTCAAGCCGACAGGGTACAGGCAGATCCCGCGGGGAGAGGCGACTCCTGCTGCCGTGCTGCCGTTCGCACCGGGACGGGGGGCGTTCTCCGCAAACAGGCGGCGCGGGGCCCGGTGCATACCCCCCCCCAAACCAAGGGCGCAACGCCCCTTTTGTCCACAGAGAAGACTCAACAAGAGCGCCCTGTCGAGCCCCGCCGGCCAACTTGCGGTCGGGGTGGGAGGGTTGAAGGGGAGGGGAGGGAGGGGGTGGATGGCGCGGTCCACGGCTTGGAGCGAAGGGCGGCGAAGGCGAACCACGGCAGGGCAAGGCGTTTCGACGACCTTGAGCACCCCCTGTGTATACAAATAACCTTCCGCCTCCCCTCGCGACACGCTGCGCCACGCTACGCCACGCCTCTTCGGCTGTCCTACAAGCCCGCCCCCGCGACCTACCGCAAAGGGTACGGCACCGGGACAAGCAGACCCTCCCCCCAATTCCCTAATTCCAGCCTCGTCGTGGGGTTTACCATGGGCCTATCAAGAAACTCCGGTTGGCGTGCAGGACTTTTACACCCCGGCTGGCGTCCAGGACTTCACACTCTTCCCTGCGGCGTCCACGGCGTCCGTCCGGGCCGCCGCGCTGGCGCCGCGCACAAGCAGGCCGCCGGCCGCACCCCGCGATTAAAAGCTCGTCAGGCCAGTACGGCCGGCGCGGCAGCCATCATCGGAAAACGGGCGGTATATCCGGCGTCGAAACAACGAACGGACTGCGTCGAACGAGCCTGGCCGCGCTCAGCCAGAGTCCCAGAAAGTATTCTAGGGCAACATTCCCTTCCAGCGACGGCGGCAACGCGTCGTCGCCGTCCTCGCCATTCCGCCAGCACACCGCGCGAACGGCCGGGCTTCGCGTACACCGCGAGAAAAGAGGACGCCCTGCCCCTGTTCCGCGAACGCACACCGCTAAAAAGCCATGGCGAGAAAGCGAGAGAAATCCCGACCGCGGACGCCACGGCGTGGACGGCGGGTCGGGGTTCAATGCGATGCGGTCGCCGCCCTTTGCTTGGCGATGTTTCCGGACCGCGAGGAATGCACGTAACGCGGGGCGGGGCGACGCGGGGTGCGAGTCGCTCGTCGGGGTGAGGGGGTTGGGGGAGGCAAGCAAGGCTTCACTCGTAAAGAAAAGTAGGTCAGGGCCGGGGAATCCCTGCCCCTCCCCCCTCGCCCTCCCCCGCCTCCACATTCTCGGCGCCCAGACAGGTCTGGGGCCCGGGTCCGCCGGGGCGGGGCGGCGCGGGGCGGCGCGGGGCCCCTCAGACACACAGGGTACAGTCCGCCTTTGCCTTTGCACCGCCGCGGCCGCCGTGCTGGCGGTACACATCCCCACTCACTGCTGGCGCGGACTGTACCCAACTCGGCTGCCGCCACAGCAGCGCCGTCGTCGCGCCGGAGCGCGAGGTGCGGGGGGAGGCGGGGCGGGGCGGGGCGGGGCCATCCCGCCGGGGCCTTTTGACGGCGAATGTACGCGACGGCCTCTCAGCTGATGGAGCGTGAGACCCGCGGGGAGGGGAGGGGAGGAGGGCCGCCAGCTGATAGGCCACAGGGTGACTAATTCTCGTCTCGGCGTGGCGAGGCGTGGCGTGCACCTCTATAATAAACCAACCCCGTCCGCCCTGACCACCCCAACTGCCGGACCATCAGGGCGTCCAAGGCGCGGCCAAGGCGGCCCAGGGGAGTCTCCCGCGGCGCACCTCGCCCAAGCACACTGTACAACCGCTGCAAGTACCATTTCCACAAACCTACTCATAATCGGAAGAAAGCCGAGCGAGATAAACTTACCGACTGCCGGGGACATGGACCGACTTCCTGAGGACCCTGTGGGCGAGGGCGTCGGTCTCATGCCCTGGGAGTTGGGCGTGCCCGGCGCCGGCCCCGTCGAGCTGTCATTGCTGTTTTGGCCGGTCAGGTCCTGCAACAAGGAAAACACGAGCACGTCAGCGAAAGGAGAAAGAGAGAGAGCGGAGAATCAATTCCCTGTCGGCGATTGGCAATGACCCCTGACTACCAGGCCCCGCCCTCTTGACTGAAATGTCAGCGTGTCTGTCACCGTCGTGCCGTCGGTCGCCGTCGGCGTGTCAGCCCAATAACGCTAGCCAAGGTCACGGCTAGCTCGATGACCCCGCGGCGTCGTACGGCTGCCGCCCCGCCACGCCACAGGCCACGCCGCCGCGCTGCCGGCCGGCTTCTCGCCATACTACACTCTCCGGCCGGCCTAGCCTGGCCGTTCCGTTCGGGGTCGCCGGCCCCCCGCTAATTGAGTTGCTGTGTCACAAACGGCGGGGCGAAGCGCGAAGCGCCGGGGCAGTGCATCGCGCCAGACTTGGCGGCGCGGCACCAGACAGACAGACGGGTAAACAGACAGACAGACGACTTTGCCGCAGCCGCCGGCGCCTCGTTTTGGCGCCAACACAGCAGCCTCGACGTCGTCGTCCTTAGCGCTTCCTTTTCGGCCGGAAACCTGATTTACTACAGTACTTTCCGGGACAGATGCACCGACTGCGCATTCGCGAGGGCGGACGTGATAAGGGCCTCCTCGGCGTGCGCGTCGTGACACCGATGGTGACACGGCGGGCGTGGCGGGGCGCGGAAAAAGTGCGCCTCCGACGACGGCGATCGGCTCGCCGAGCCATACGCCGTCCCCCGCGGCCACGAGGACGCCGACGAGACCTAAACGCGCGCGCCGCGGGGCTGGCCGGCGGCAGGCCGACGAGCGCGAGCGCTCTGCCCTCGCGGCCCCGCTTTTCACACGGAAGCGGCCGCGAAATATGAAAACAATGCCGCACAAGGCCAAGCACACACACACACACGCAACAAGTTGCGAAAGCTCTGCGCCGGACTTATCTCGCCGCTCGTGACACGCCGATCGGCCATTCCCAGCCGAGACGCCACGGCGCGACGCCACCGCTAATTGACCGCACTACTTTTACGGTGCCGTCGACGTATAATTCATTCATCGGAGGCAATTAACGAGCGCCATCTACCTCATTAGAGGCTCACCCACACACACACACAGGGACGGCGATTACGGTCGGATAGCGTGGTAATGAATGGAGACGCCGGCGAAAGCGCCGCTCCTTTTTATCGTCGCGAGTAACGAGGTGGCCATGTGTTTGTGGTCGCGAGGGACCGCAGGGACACTGGAGGTCGTTATCCTGGACATCTTCTCCAGGAGACCGCGAGGCAGGCAGCTTCCTAGAGGCGGAGGCGGCCGAGGTCCCGGCACGCTCCGCCCGCCCAAATCTCCCTCACCCCTGAGCCCGATTAGACCCCTGAGGACGTCGACGAGTCCCCGCGGCAGCCCGGCTCGCCCTGGAGTCTCCAGGACGACGGGCAGCCAGCCGGACCCGCAGGGACCGCTCCAGGAAACTGCAGGGCGGTCTCCAGGGCCTCCTGCGGGACTCGCCGCTCTAATGAATTCCCCTCCGCGTGGGCCTCGCAGCCGGGCAACGCGAGGGACGCGAACACCCTCGTCTCGGCCTCCAAAGCCCTCCGCGCGCCGCGCCCCGCCATGCCGCCACCGAGGGGGAGAGAGCGGCGAGAAGCGAGCGGCGGTCCCGAGTCCCGGGCCCCACCGCCGCGCCGGCCGGGCCGCGCCATGGCTGCGCGCTGCGCCCCCGAGCCCTGGCAGCCAGCCGTGCCGGGTCGAGCCGAGCCGAGCCGAGCCGCCGAGCCCGAAGCGAAGCGAGCCGAGCGGGCGGGACTCGGACTCGCCGGGCCAGCGTCTCGTATTCTCTGTGGAAGTGGTGCTCGGGAGCGGCGCGAAGCCGGCACGGCCGACTCTGCGCCGCCAGCGTGGCCGCGGCCGCCGCGAGAGAGAGGCCTTTAGGGACCGCCCCCGCGGACCGGCGGAGGGCCATGCCGTCTCATTCTCTCTCTCTTTCTCTCGATGCCGGCTCGGCCCGTCACTCTGCCCCGCTCCCCCCCACGTGGAAAACCACGTGTGTACCCCAGGCAGCCCCATGCCGGCGGCATTGCGCGACCCGAGGCACAAAAGAGTTGCCGCTCCATCGGAGATCCGGGTCGCCAGTCGGGTCGCCGCCAAGATCGCCCCATAATGAAGTCGTGGACAATGACGGTGACAGGGCGACAGGTAGGGTTGCAGAGTGGCGGCGATGCACGTGCGATGCACCGCCTCAGACACCTTGCCGATTATCTAGGTCCAGGGTCCAGCCCCTGAGGGGTGAAACTGAGGGCAGTCCTCGGCCGCGCCACTCGTAAACACGGCGCCGGGGTGCATCTGCCACACCACCTGTGCGTACCAACCGGCGGCATCGCCGCAACCCCCAGCTGCAGGTGCGGCGTCTGCTAGCTGACGGCACGGCCGGGGCGCCGAGGCACGACCCAGGGATGGCCGCAGCAAACCGCCTCGCCTCGCCGGCATGTCGCGATGAATGAACAAGGTCCTACTACCGGCTACTGTACACTGATTGTGTGTACATGCACCAATATGAGACGACCTAGGCCAACACACAAAAACACACACACACACACACACAAGCGAGGTCGAATCAAGCACCTTGCGTGCCTCGTGACGCGGCCAGCGGGCTCGTGACCTCACGGCCAGCACGTCACGGCGAGGCAGGGCGTTCCGAGGCCGGCGACGAGGAAGTCGAGCCCCATCATCCCCCTCGCCGCCATGCCCGCCGCCACCGCACTGCCAGAGCGGCCTCCAGCAGACGGCGGCCGTCGCCGAAAAAGATGACATGACGTCTCATTTCCGACGCCGTCCGACTAACGGCCTAACGGACCGACCACGCCACTGCCGGCTTGACTCGCCTCGCCTTTCCCTCAAGTTTACGTTTCGCTCGCTTCCCACGATTTGCATGTGTCCTTGGGAAGGTCATTCGACGCCCCCCACCCCACCCCAAACCAACACTTTGGCATCAACTTCAGACACCGACGACAACTGGGTGGGCGTCGCGGAGGAGAGGCTGGGAGGGGGAGGGGGGCAAAAACAGCTGACGCTAGAGCGAGACGGCGAGATTCATCCGAGAGTCGTTTTGGCACGTGGGGCCTACACGACACCGCGCATCGCAAGCAAGCACCGCGTCTGAGCGCCACAGCCGCAGCCACACACACACACCACAGCGCGACGGGCAGTCAAAGCCCTGGACGTGGTGGAGCGGAAAGAGAGAGGAATAGTGGAAACATGGAAACAGAAAAAGAGGGAAGGGGGAGGAGGGAGGGAGAGCGCCGGCCGGCCTGCAGTGGCCTGCACTGGCCGGCTGCACGGCAAACAGGACAAACACGCCGCTTGGCGCGCTTGGCTTTCGGTTTCACTTGTTTCACTGACCCCGGCGATCAGCTGATCATCACCAGAACAGGAGACCTCTCCCCCCCCCTTCCTCCCATTTCCAACCTCATTCCCTCCGTCTTCGAGATAATCAACACAGCACTGCCAACACACGATGGGACCCAGACACGTGACGAGAGCGAGCGAGAGAGAGAGAGGAAGAGAGAGAGACATCTACCTTTCCCGCCCATTCATTCGCACCGACGGCTCCAGCCAGCAGCAGCGTGCGCCCCATTCCTCCGAACGGCGCTCTCGCCGCCCCGTCTCCGTCACACTCACAGGGCGTCCCGCAGGGGTGCGAGAGAGCCAGCCAGTCCCGGGAAAAGCGGATAACGCCGACAAAAGCGGAGCACGGCCGAGCGCCAGCCAGACGGCGCGACGCGCGATGAATGCACACGCATTCATGCATCCTTCATCCCCCGATCAGACATCGGACAGGGCCGGGCCGGGGTTCCGACAACGCGTCTGCACGCGTCCGAATCAAACCGCACGCCATCGCAGGACGCACACAGTGGAGGCACAGGGGGGCGCGTTGTGCAAGCGGCACCATCTGCGCGATCGTTTCGTCGTCGTCTCTCTCGCACCCGTAGGGCCGTAGGGCCCGTAGGGGACGCTTCACGAGTGCGAGAGAGAGGCGACGATCCGTTGGTAACAGGCGGGGGCCGGCCGGCGGCCACACACCCCGGTCGGACACGTCCGGACACAGACGGGGCACAGTGGGCCGCCAGAAGACCGGGGAGGCGGCCAAAACTCTAGACGCGTTTTGAGCTCCAGAGTCGCTGAACAGGACTTGAACCGAACGTGTGACCCCACCAATGGATTGCTCTCCGAACGAGGAATCCATTGGTGGGGTCACACGTGCCGTTCGAGTCCCATTTAGCGACTCTGGAGCTCAAAACGCGTCTAGAGTTTTGGCCGCCTCCGCCGATCTTCTGGCCCACTGTGCGGGGGCCGTGGCACGCCGTGGCGGCGTTCAATAACAAGCACAGGCGAAGTTGGACGAGTCTAATTGCCGGACAAGCAAACCAGCCGTCCAGCCCATGGCGGCCCATGGCCCCACCAGCTGAGTTTCGCCATTAAAAAGTTTGCCCCGCGACCGCACACCGCCCCGCTCCGCCGCATACGTCATGTGCACGCCACCCGCCACCGGCAGCCAGGCGAACGGGCCGCTCCTTGGCGCCAATAATGCAACAACGGCCTGCCATCGCCGGCAGCCGCCTCATTCCAAAGGCTGTCTCTCTCTCTCGCACCCCTGCGTGATTCCCCATGGGCCCCAGAGGGGCGTGCGCCGCGGCCTCGGCGACGACCCAGGCAAGTGGAGCACGACAGTGGAGCGTGAACTTCGACATCGCTTATTAATTTCACCCCCGGAAGAAAGAGAGAGGGGAGGGAGGCACGGCAAAAAACAAACAAAAACAACAAGTCAAACATGTGGCCGATAAATTGGCGCGGCCGGGGCACGCCGCCGACGCCACCCACCCCGGAGAGGGGCGCGCCGTGTGTCCAGTCCATCAGGCACGCCGCTGTCTCGCTCGCACCCACGAGAGCGAGCGAGCGAGAAGACCTCGGAATCAGTCCTGGCCGGCCGGCCGCGCTCCGCCGCGCTCCCACGGGGG